GATGCGGCGCAGTCCAGCCGACATTCATGTTGTGACGCACGGCAGCCTGCATTCATGATTCGGCGCCGTGCAGCCTCTATTCATTCTGTGGCGCAGTCTAGATGTGCAAATGAAATAAGTTTAGAATTTGTCTTTGAGTAAAAAATGACGAACCTGACGCATTAACTCCATTATCTGGGTCAATTCACCATTGTTCTCAGCTAGTCAAAGTACAAATAACGCATCTGCCAAAATGCAGTTTCCTCCGTTCTAGCTATTATCTGCGATTGTATTAGCGTTTCTTAAACTTGTTGAACTAAATATTTGTCTTTCAAGCAGATCTGTTGTTGAGTGTTCCAAACCGTAGTTTTTCTCATTACAATGTCATAGTAGTGCTGCTATGACAAACTTTTTCATCTCAGTTGATCTGAAACGAACATTGAAATTGTAGCTAACTTCAATTTAATCCGATTCCTGTGAAGGGCAATTGGCTAGTTCGCGGAGAAAACTATTCCTAAAACTAATAATCGTGTCACATGTTATGTTGTTGAAACAATGTTGTTAACATTTGTACGTATCTCACTACGCCAAAAAATGTATGATGAATACATTTTCAGAGGAGGGCTCCATGTTCTGAAATGAACATCGAAATTGTAGCTAATTTCAATTTAATCCGATTCCTGTGAAATTCAATTGGCTAGTTCGCGGAGAACACTATTCCTAAAACTAATAATCGTGTCACATGTTATGTTGTTGAAACAATGTTGTTAACATTTGTACGTATCTCACTACGCCAAAAAATGTATGATGAATACATTTTCAGAGGAGGGCTCCATGCAGGCAAGCATTCCGTGGGTCATTCTAAGTCGCACGTTCCATTAGCGTCATGGTCAATTGAATTATAAACTGGCCGATTATTATAAGTTTATTGGATACAGTAGAAATCCTGTTGACCTGTTCAACTGTGTCCGGAGTCACGCGGCCAAAGAATACGCTGCTTTCACTTATTAGAACAAATACTGCCGGAATGAACCATGCTGCTACGGGAGACAATGTCAACAACAGCTTCAATGGTCATCCTATATACTAAATAACTAATCTCAGCAACGGTGATGTTTACAATTTTTAGCGCATTTTCTCATTTATGGAAAAAATGCACTATTGTGCTCGCCATGTCCGTCTGTCCGTCTGTCTGTCTGTTTGTCCGTCTGTCCGTCCGTGACCTCAAGTTTTCGTCGACGAGAAAATGCGCTCTCTGTCACTCACTGCAGTGAGTACTGAGTTATATTTTTCCTTTTGTCTTCGTTTGCGAGTTATACGGCTATACGTATAGGGCTTGGAAAAGCCGGTCGTTCCTATTTTATCTGCATAACTCGCAAATGAAAGCAAAATAGAAAATTTGTCACGAGCTAAACATCACCGTTGAGTGGTTATGTATTTATATACAAAGTTTCGTTGAAATTTGTTCCTTAGTTTAGAAGAAATTTTTTGATCGCCGCGAATTTAAGTGACAAATTACCCGGCGATACGGGCCGAATATAAGGAAGTGAGAAATCAAGAATGACGATGAAATGAAAAAAAAAATCTCGCAAGCGAAGGTAAAATCGAACAAAATTTTATAAGCTAAAAAATCACCGCTTGGTAGTTAGCAATGGAATGGAATGTCGGGAATGTAATTTTTTGTTCAAATCTGTTCAATAGTTTGGCAGAAATTCTTTGATCAATGCGAATTTCGGCTTGTATCGCAATATACGCGCAACTCACGAATGAAGGTGAAATTGAAAAAAATTACGAGCTAAACATCACCGTTAGGTTCTGATGAATACGTGTTCCAAGTTTCATAGAGCTGCGTTCATTAGTTTGGTAGATATTATTTGCTAATTGAATTTGGAGATTGGTCGTGAGACCGCCCACGAGTTCGGCCGTAAATTCGCCGGAGACGTCCTAGGTTTCTAGTGCTGAAACAGTTAAAACAGCTGAAAAACATATTGGTTCACTAAATGGGGTTCTATTTGTGAAATACACATTTGTGTTTAACCTTTATCTTTTAAAATTTGGTACGCATGTCAGTGGGGGGCGCTAGAAATTCCCTAGGGAGCCAAAGGGGGCGCCAGCCTGAAAAAGTTTGGGAACCACTGCTCTATACCGAAGTGCAACAGCAATAGGACAAGGACGCAAAAACTAACATATTTAAATAAATTGTAGTCATCACTTGTAAAGGAATAAACCGTTCACATGGCAAATCTATACGTAACGTCGCGCAGGGGAAGGTCTTGGTAACAAGGGTGATGCCTTCTGTGAGCTCTTCCTTGTTCCTCAAGCGATTCTGATGTGGCTGCTTCCGATCAGTTCAGGTCCACAAATTCCGCCCTTTTGCACTAAAATTTGCACCGCGAAGCAGACTTTTTGTATGCTGGCTTACACAAGAGGCCTAAGGCATTCCACAACATACACCTATACCCGTACACCTACAAGCACCATAAGACATTCCGCAACATACACAACTAAGACCCATCACACCCTCCGATCGCATTTCCATAATAGATCTTTACCAGCCGATACAAATACTCATCCTCTTGCCGATCCTTCCATACAGCGATATTGACCCGATAGAAAAAGACCTTATCCCAGCACACAGTGCCCACACAAGGCAGACCCTACAACAGTGGAAATAGACACATACCCCTAGAAAATTGCACAAAACACGTACAGAATAACACTGGAACTTCGATTGTTACCACAACGCACCAAATTGTTCCCCCCATCAAACCCGGACCACGAAACACGGCTTATACAACAAAATATTAAACCACTCGTCAATATATCCACACCCACGGATCATCAATAACACTCGACAGACGCCTCGATACCCTACGCGCACAAATACACACAGCATACGGACAACTCCAAATACAGACATTAACACTAGCGATCCCCAAAAATTCTGATCATCAGATAATCAGTTTGGTTTTCGTAGGGGTACTAATACGACAATGGCTATATTTTATCTAGTTAATGATCTCCTTATGACGTATCATTCCAAAGATTGCTGTGTTGCTTTTTTTTAGACCTACAAAAGGCTTTAGATTGTATAAATCACCAAATTCTCTTGAATAAGCTCCGCCGGTGTGGTATTAGAGGGCCTTTCCTTTTACTTATCCAGTCGTACCTAGCGAACAGAGAGCAGTTTGTTGCATTGAACAAGTTCAAATCCCCCATAGGACCCATCAATATAGGTGTACCACAGGGCTCTGTACTTGGGCCTTTATTTTTAAATATTTTTATCAATAAAATCACCTCGTTTTTTAACATGAACTGCAAGCTTTTTGCCGACGATGCCGTTTTCTATGTCTCGAGAAGTTCTTACGATGAAGAGTGTGATTATATTGCGGAGCTATCAGTGAATTTGCCTAGATGGCTCTTAAAAACAGGCTTGTGGCTCACACAGATACGACCAATTAAGTTGATGCTCTTTACTCCCAGATCCGTTTCCTTTCTACGCGACATCACTTTTAATGGGACAGTTTTAGAAAGGGTCGATGATTTTAAATATCTTGGCTTAATAGTCGACAATAAGAATTCCTTCAATAAACACATTAACTACGTCTGTGATCAGGGGCTGAGTAAAGCCCACGGAGTTTTGCGTGCTCTATCAAGTGTTTTAACTCTTCCATAATTAAGAACGCTTTTCTACTCATTCTCCTTATCTAAACTATCAAACACGTCGCTAATCTGGGGTACCTTAAAATTCAAAGAAACGGGCCATCACCTTAATTAATAAATCGTTGCGTACAATATTTCGGGTTAAGTATGACGAGTACAATATCCCATTGACTCGTACTAAAGTATTATACGTATAAGCAGTCGAAAATTTTCAAACTTGACGATATGCACAAATTTCAGCTTTCAAAATTCATGAATAGGGCACTCTTCCATGATGAACGTCTTTTTAATTCTGCTTTCGCCTCTCTTGTTCCTCAACATTCACATAACACCAGGGGCATGCGTTTTAACTTACCCCCGGTTCGGTTAGAAATTGTAAGAAACGGTACAGTTTTTAATTGTGTAAAATATTTAAATGAATTGCCTGTTGATATTAAAATAGATTGCTCTAAATTCATTTTAAAGACTAATTTCCGCGATTTTATTCTCACCCAGTATTAATTTGACTTCGATTATCATGTAAGATTTTACTAACTGCCTTTCTTAATACGATCTTAGATAAATATAATGGTGTAAGTCAACATTGTTTTGACTTTTCGTCTTAGTTGTATCTGGCTTTTAAGTAGGGTTGTTATTCCTTGGTTATATTCATTTTTAGTCGCCAATCTGCTCATTCTCATATCAGTTTTATCAAAGGTTAGTTTATCAGGATGTTTATACTTTTGTCACTTTCTGTTCCCTATTGACTTATCTCATTAACATTATATGTTATTATTCTATTGAAAGTTATATCGCCTATGTCGCCTGTGAAGCTTTCCAGCTTACATAGGCATTCACAAGGAAGCAATTTGTATTTTTTTTCTTCAAATTTTCGATGTTCTCTAGTTATGTATTTTTGGAATGCTCCTGTGTGAAGGAAAAATGAAGTAAAATAATAGAGTTAAAAAGCAATCGCAAAATAATGCGTCAGATGTAGCACCTGCAACTACACACCTGGCACAAGCAATGCGTCAGATGTAGCACCTGCTACTACACACCTGGCACAGGCAATGCGTCAGATGTAGCAGCTGACACTTCACACCTGATCCAATCAATGCGTTATTTTTTTCGTTTAATGAACTACTATATAGCGTTTAAATACAACTGTTATAAATTCCTCAAATGAAATCTTTCGAGGCTATACATCCCTTAATGGGTATTTTGGTAATCCGTCATGTTTTATGGTATCTCGGCAACGAAGTTCCTCCATCGCTTTGATGCGCATGTATGAGCAACTTCAGCCAGTACATTCAGATGACCTAAATTTACGTATGAAGTGATTTTCTCCCCAGAAAATAACAGTGCAATTACAATCTATGATGGAAATAGTGCCACAAGTTTCTATGGACAATTTCATGTACCTCAGCCCCAAGATAATGGGGCTTATCCTGAACAAAGAGTGTCATGACAAGGCAAGTAATGATACTTATAGACAATACCTGGAAAAACAGCGGATATGCAAAGGCGAAAACCCTTTCTCCAACACAGAATGGAAAAAAACATTTGGGTTCTCGTCAAAGGTTTTCGAAACTGTAACAAATCCAGACAAAGAAGACGTCACAGCCATCTTTTGTCTGCTTAGCTATATGATCACAACAGTTCACAGAGATGATTCTAGGGATTGTAATGAACTACTGATGAAGTTAAGAGAAGTCAAAGACTGGCGAAACAAAGCTTTTCACAACCTTCAGGCCGTTACAAGCAAGCAAAATTTCGAAGGCCTACGGGCAGCGCTAGTGGAGCTAATTGATGAAGCCGGGAGTTTCTATTCTCTTTCCCATGTTGAGATGGATGGCATTAAACAAGAGGTGAACAATGACATTGCCAAACTGGAGGCTCCGGATACGGAGAGCATTTATTACTGGTGTTCGAGGCTAATGGTATGCGGGAAAGAGGCCGTAAGGCTTCTGTGGGAGGCCAGGCTATCCAGCGAGATGCTCACGCTTAACAACGACACAATAAAGGTGAAGCGTCGGGACGTATTCCACTCCCTCGACGTGAAGGTGAGAGCAGGCGCTGACGGAAAGGCTTTTTCTTACATTAAAGTGTTCGAAGCTCAGGAAGAGATTATCGTAATAACGGGCGTCGCTGGTGCTGGCAAAACAACTCTCGTTAAAAACATCGTGCTGCAATTTTTCCAGCCGCAGCAAGGTAGCGTAGATTACTTGAGCTCCTTTGATCAACTCATCTTCTTTGAGTGCAGAGATCGCACCACCGAAAAACTGAGTGACGTCATTAAGCAGCATTTCGGCGATCTGTGTCATGAACTAGGAGGTCAGGACAACGTTCTCGATGCCCTTTTAAGCCTTCACGTTTTATTTCTCATTGACGGCTTTGACGAAGTCAACGACGTTTCCATGAAAGTTGTGACTGAGATTGTCAAAATGACGTGGCGCCTTAACTGTCGTGTGTTGATCACGACTCGTCCTCATGCCGTGCAGGAAAAACTATCGCCGCTCTTGTCCCGTAACGATATCAGTTCTACTCTGTATGAGATCATGCCTATCACGAAGCTTGCTGATCAACTTGCATTCTTGCGGCGGTATGAAGCTTACCTGGGTGGCGGCTCTCCCGCTGGAGGGATGACTAAGTGCTTCGAGTCGCTCAGTGAAGATGTCAGAAGTCAATTCTCGGAGCCCATCAACTTGCTTCATTACTGTGAAATGTATAAGCATTTCCCTGAGGCGATAGCATCGTGGCAGACACCTGGGGACGTGGCACCTACTAAGCTGATTCTGTATAAGAAACTTGTCCGTACCAAACTATCAGATTCGCTTGAGGACATAGACGTCCTGATAAAAAATATGTTTGCTGCCGTTGGTGCGGAAGCGTTGGATCTGCTTAGCGACGACGCTTTGATTTTCTCCCAGGAAGAGCTGCTTGCAATCAAGGAAAGATGTAAGGTTACAATGAGGGGCAATGAAAAGTCTGACTCAGCCGCTGTACTCTCAGTGGTACTGAGGGAGCACCGGCCTCTGGCTGGACACGAGAGCGTAAGCTATTCATTCAAGCACAAGAGCGAGCAGGAGATGTTTGCTGGTAATTACATCCTTCAGCGTATCTTAGGAGGACGACCCGACTCCCTCAGCAGCATCCTGGGAGTCCCGAAGGAGGGATTGACACGGTGAGCACGAGGGACAAATAACTGCTGTACGCCGGTACTCTGAGCAGTGAGCCGCGTAATATGTTGCAGGCTAAGAGTAATGAGCAACACAAACTTTCCAGCCATAAGCAGTAAACAGCACAAACTTTCCATATAATAAATAGTGAACCGCATAATATTCCCAACCATAAGCAGAGAGCAGCACTAAATGAGTCATGAGCAGTACAAAATTCACAGCTATATGAACATTAAGCAGCACGATAAGTTCCGAACAATTAGCTATCATATATTTTTACCGTACCATCCCGGCCAGGAGGTATGAATTCGAAATATACGCTGGATATCTTGAATGGTTGTTTCAAATTGCCTTCTAGTTTCAAGTGAGTTTTTTGTTCAATCGCTCCGTATGCGCATTCACCGTTAAGTCCTTATTAAAACTTGTCTTGAATTATTTCTCCGATTCATTTTTCGTTCGACTTCACATTTCTTTGTACTTTTTAATGAATCTCGTCATGTAAGAAAGCTGCTCTTATGTAAGTAAATCATTTCTAACTTCAGTTTTTATGTTTCATTGTTGTTTGAGAAATGACGAGGTCATTGTAAGCGATGACCTGTAAGCCTTGTTACGTAAGGCGTGAGCTGCAAGCCCTTCTTAGGGTATGATAACAGACATTTCTTGAGGAAAACACTCTGAACTTCAACAGGAAACAGGCTCATTTATTGGAAAAACCGACACATTCACGGTAACAGAAGACAGGCGGGAAACAAAACCGTTAAACATGTCACTATACAATCAACGTATAGTCCTGACTGCCCCAATAAATCCCCACCCACACGTGTTCCCCCAGCCTGCGTGAGGTGCTGCTGTACGTGCTGCAGGCATTGAGTAGGGACAGCCCTCGTCATTTCCAGCGGCGGTGGCCGGAACTGAAGGAAGCGCTGCGCCACGCAGGCGTCACCGCCGCGGATGCTGTGAGGGACTGCGTCACGCGCTGCCCTGACCACGCTGGGACCGTGGCCGAGCTCGCCGCCCTGGTGAAGGACGGGGACTGGCACGTCTACAACGGTAGGTAACTTTCAATCATGTTGTGTTGGTGACGTTCACTCTCGCTCGGTGTGGTTGGTAACGTTTACTCATGTTGATTTCGTTGGATGACGTTCACTCATGTTACATGTGCACGGTGGGTAACGTTCACTTATGTTGAGTTTGGTTGGGTGACGTTCACTCACGTTTGGTATGGTTGGTAACGTTTACTCATATTGATTTCGATAGATGACGTTCACTCATGTTACATGTGGTGGGTAACGTTCAATTATGTTGAGTTTGGTTGGGTGACGTTCAGTCACGTTGGCTGTGGTTGGTAACGTTCACTCATGTGTAAGGAAATAACGCACATATCACTACTGCAATCAATTTTATTCAGAACCCATTGCAAGCTCTACGATTACGCCAAAGAATTTCGGAGCCGAAGTGGAAATTCATCGCTGAAATGAAGAACCAACTATATAACTGTATAGAAACGCTATGAGCTGATAAGTTTCGTAGGTCAAAAATTATATTCAACATTTACAATTTGAACGTCAACAGAAATAAACACGGCAATAGCCGAACTCAAACCCCGAAACCTGACACAACAGGAGCTGCCAAATAAAAAATAGGACGAGGAGGCGAGCGCTATAAGCCGGGTAGGCAGCAAATATAAGTACATCAACGGTAAGACGTACACACAGGAAGCGCAATTATTCTGAAAGTGATAATACAGCTATTAGAATTCATCGCAGAGTGAGTACTGAATAAGCGAATATTACTATGACAAGCCAATATGCGCAATACTGATAAGGCATTTCGATGCTAAATAGTACAAATATGCACCTTCTAAAATATTGCCGCAGGCGGTACTCGGAAGTGGTGTAATGACCTATTAGCAACGTTTTAATTAAGGGTAAGTTAATAAATTAAGGCCGGCCCAACCTCAAGAAGGTTGTGGTTAGTAGGAGAGCCAATAAACGCACCTATAACAAACGTATGATAGTACAGTGAACCAAATATTCACATCGTGACAGATGGAATAGCCAGCTGGTTCCCGCATCAAACAAGAGCCTTGAGGCGAGCTTGGCAATAAATTTAATAAACGCGTCCAAAGGCATAATTTATTGGGTTGGACCACGACGGGAAAATTATATGCATTAGGTAATTATTTAATTATAAAGGCACTTTACATGCGTAAATTCAATAGGATTAGCGGAAAGCCATCACAAAAAAGACGAGGTAGTCAGTAGTCACCAACTTCAAACCTCTTGTAATCACGCCCTTGTTCCCTGATTTCAACTACCTTAACCTACACTTATTCTTTTTAGTCGCTACAACATTAATATGGAAAAACGTCTTATACATGGTGGGTGTGGCGAGTGAGGTCCTTTCATGTTGAGTGCAGTGAGTGACGTTCACTCTCTAACAAAATTTGATCCTAAGCTAGTCAGCTACGAGAGTCTGGTATGACGCAAGTTGCGATTAATTTATAGGCGAACTGAGAATCCCAGAGAAGTTTCTGCGGCGAAGACACCAGCTTAAAAGTACCACAATCTAGGGAGCACAATACAATTGTCGTGTGAATAGAGTGTACAGGTTCAGTGACCAAGGAAAACATTTATGGAGAAAACATTTGTTTTATATTAGAACACGCTCATAGTGAAAACATGTATGGCACAAAATCACATACACTCTCTTTTCCATACATATGGAATAGAACATGTAGTACAAATCTATCAGCATAGTTAAGGTAAATGGGTACATCCAAACTGAACAAGTCCGATTACTTCAAGCTTGATTTAGCAGCAGGCTCCTGTTCATCCAAGGAATTCTATTCCGTTGATGTTCAGCGTTGAAACAATTGGGTTAATCACTATAAGTTTCAATCTAATGTGAATCTGCAATCACCGTAACGCGGCCAAGGTTGACCCAATCTATTTACTTACGCGTTGGAATATTTTTTTGTAAATTCAAGAACCTTGAATTCAAGAACCTTGAGTATAACATATTTATAAGCACACCTAATCAAGCGAAGCATATCAATCAGTTATTGTGTTTCTATTTTACATAACAAATAATCGATAGAAAACTGGAAAATGTCGAACGGCACGTTATAGCATGCATCGTTTGTTATGTGACCAGATGGACATGAATAGCCGTGATAATGCTTTCGGAAAAAGGATAGAATAATCTGATATCATTGATTTATTTTCAGAGGCAAGTGAGATATTAATAAATATCTCGATAATTTGCTTTCAATTCATAAGCCAGATTTCACTTTGAAATTTCAATTCCACCAAATCTTTGCTGCTTACAATACTACGAGCTTGTTAAATTTTTAGTTTCGTTGTTTTTAACTGTCTCACCACCAGTCAGTATACGGTAGACAACACTTACATGTTCGTGGATCGCTTAAAGAATTTCGCTAATGTTCAGGACTTGACTATGGCTTCATTTGATGTAGAAAATTTGCTTACCAATGTACCCTCTCCATGAAACTATCGATTTCTCGCAACTTTTATACTAGGCTGGCGGAGCATAAGGGAAGGAGTTTTAGAACAGGAAACCTGCTTGCGCATCCACCTCATACAGCAGTACGCGTCCATGCCGAGCAGTGCAACGTGCCAGTGTCCGATATTGATTTTCGAATTTTAGCCTCTACGACCGGTGTTTCCGACCTGCGAATTTTAGAGTCCCTTTATATTTTTGAACAAAAGCCTATTTTAAATGCCGCCAACAGTGCATATCCCCTCGAAATTGTAAATGGATAGGTTTGTCTGCCCGTATTTGCTTCATTCTTGTATGTTTCTCATTTGAAGATTTATGCTTCAATGTAAATTTGTTGTTAATTGTTTGTACCTGTGTTTTAGCTTTTGAATTGATGATGGAGATCGTCTCCGAAACGTTTTCCTATTTAAGAAATGGTGAAATTTCTGGCTATTTTATTTGCTTTTAAATTTTTGATTGCTTTAACGATAAATGTAAGTTTAACCGGAACACCGCCGCGAAGTCGAAATAATTGCGGGCAGCGAGCCGACTTTGGTAGAGACTTTGGTATTGGTTTTACACACAAGGGCTGAAAAGTCGCCCTTTGGTCCAGCTCTAAATTCCTTTGCTTTGGAGAGAGGAGGAATGAAAACGAGGAATTTCGTAGAATACCAGTGATCTTCAGGCTTAATACAAATTTCTCTGTACATGGGCGCACAATTTAGTATTAGCTAAAAGTTCCAGGAGACAGGATTGCAACCTCAGGAGTACAACGTCGACGAACCCTAATATAGTCAAGAAACACAAAAGTGGACAGCAAAGATGCGAGTTCGAGCCGCATCTCGATACCAACAACCAGCTGCAGTTATCGTGCAGGTACGAGCCCAAATACCGCTGCAAGAAACACAAAAATTGGATGACAGGGATACGGATTCGAGCCGCACCACGATGCCGATAACCAGCATCATTTGCCGATGCCGATATTTGGAACAAAATTTGGATATCAGTTACGCCCCAAAGGCATGACTAAAGAGGTGCAAAGGCAGGGGTGCAAGTCCTCGATAAGCCGCTGTTATAAATACTAGAGTTCAGAGGTTATTAGTCCCCACGACACGAGGGTGCGCACGGTACGGTTATTAGCCGCACCAAAACGCCGCCGGCAACCGGGACTAGCCAATAACTCTACTTACGCCGTATTTAGACAGTTATTGAATCTCTTGCTGACGCCTTGTTTAACCAAGCGCACTACCAGTCGGTTCAGTTTGTGAGATCTGTCCACAACTCCGGCAGAGTCTTAGTAGCCCAGATCTGTCTTTTTGAAATCGAGTGGCAACGCTCGGGCCCCCACACAGTCACACTGAGCACTCACAATTTGCCCGTGAGGGGTAACATAGGCTAAATAACCTTACAACAATGCCACGTTAAGAGCGCTACAAAATTGACTAGCCTCATAATTCACGTACATAAGAAGATAATATAATACAATAGAATATGTTAATCATAGTTTTAATCCTCTGGCAGAATAATCATAAGTCAATGGTCGAATAATCATTAACTAATTTTAAAGAGATCGAGTTATCCGTCGTCCAAGATCAGTAGTTCCCTGAAGGGAATAAACTCGCACCCACGCGAGGCTAGCAGCTGATTCGACCAATCGCGTTGAAACTACACGACGTTCAGCCGCACATCGTGACACTAATATATAAATTCCCTTAATTAACAAAATAATATCACAGTCATAAAGAAGGTTCCTTGTTTCCATCACGAAATGAAAAATATGTACGCATTACTTAGTCATACATAAGTTAAATCCTTTGAGTTAACAAAATAATATCACAGGTAAATGAGACTGCATATTCTAGTTTTAAAATAAATGAATTCAATCATTATCTTGTCATTAATCTGCAAAAGAACGTGTAATCAAAACGGTACTCCTCAAATAAACAAAAATATCACAAAATATATATCCCGTCACATATGTGAGATTGTCATTTTCACTTGCGCGAAAAATAGTACTTGTCGTAAGGCCTAGCCAGTCAAGTTACAACACTTTGTCTCTAGTGTCGTTGCTAGACTAATATGGAGCGATTATAGGCTGCAGTAGTCTATTCCCAAGTACGAGTGCAGTTTGGTTTTGTGTTTTGTAATTTAGTGTTTATATGAATTATTGTCAAATTATTTTCCGATCTTAATCATTTCTATGGGCAATTATTCGTCTCATGTGTATACTCAGCAGGGCAGAGCGAAGTCCTCTCTTTTCTGTAATTCTCCAATTCACTTTACTACGATTATAACTTTCAGCTCATTCGGAATAAATGTTAAGGGTTGTTGAACTATAATTGAACTGGAGATCATACATATGGGGGCTCTAACGGGATGGTATTAATACTTTTAATACGAAGCAACTGATTGAATTTTCTCATGACTGAAGACGTGAATTGCCTTTCTTAATTGTGCAAATTCTCTGATGGCAGGCCAAATCTGCAAAACATCTCAAGCAAAGCTTCGGCAATGGTTTCATTATCAATACGCTTTTAAGTAATCGCATCTGGATGTTTGGTCGTTAGGTCAATCATGACAAGAGCAAAACTGTTACCTTTCTGACTCTTCGACAATGGTCCTATGATGTCCACATCTACGCGCTGAAATGGTCCTCCGATTATAGGCATTTTGATTGATGGTAATTTAAGGACGATAACATGCAACAGACGAATATCATTGTGATAGCCTGGTCAAAAACGTTCCAATACTCAACCTTCGTTTTCTGAACGCCCAAGTGTCCATCAGTAATACTGGTGGAGAAAATGATAATTCCATTACTTTCTTCCTCATTTCTGAGGGCATCACTATTTGTTTCACAACATTCAATAGCGATTTCCTGTCCGGTGTCAATTCACTTGACCTGATAGAGATTGAGGACGAGTCAACATCTGATATAGACACGTGATAGATCACGCGATCCTTTCACATGCTTATCTAACCAATATATCGTTTTCGGGTGAAAATTTTGGAGAATTAGTCGCGTTAGCATCTACAAGTTGAAAATAAGTTTTTCTCCAATCATTCGACTTGTAATGACAAGGACAGCGGTAACACCGGTTTCTCGTAAATTTTTTACTTCTTTTCCATTAAAAATGTGTTTTAATATAAGCCTCACTTTTATATGAATGAAGTTTATTTTAGGAGGCCCGTTCACGGAAGAGGACCCTAACCAAAATATCGTGCTGAGGGCTTCTTTGACACATTTTTACATTCAAATCGATTACGTCACCGTTAATTTTAACCATCCCTGAAATTTCGAACAATTTCACGCACATAATTCAAATGGTCACGTATAATATCCATGACATTCTTCCTCTCGTTTCCACTCATAATGTTAAATTAATATTAATATCAATAGTATCAACATTACACTCCCATCAGACACATATTCAACCCAGCCATCATTCAACTCTCAAAAACATTCACCACATTATTAAACATTTCCTACTGCATTGAGATCGACTGATCCAGCCATAGCCAGAAACCATCACTTTATCGACTGAGCGTTGACTGCTCTAGTCTCATCCTCATGTACAACAGGTATGACGTAGACATCTCCAATTGTTGAGCTGTACTATCTGGATCTACTGCTGTCGACAACCGGCAATATCAGAAAATTCTTCATTCACTATTTCATGCGCTCCATCAACTAGAAGTTCAGTCAATAGAATCTTTCACCCTAGCAATCACATATGTGTCATTGAATATATCCATCTGGGAAACACTTTTCAGAATCTCGTAGAGATAAAATTTTTCTTACAGGTTACAGGTAATAAAATTCTTTCAAATCATTACGAATGAACATTCTGCAGAACAAAAGCTAATAAATTTATCGACATTTTCAGCATCTATAGATGCACACCATACAGTTAATTCTAGAATAATTATCATCTGCCTCAAATTCGTTGCCAGACGCTGTATATATGTATTACGGAAGCCAAATTAGAGAAAAATACAACTCGTGAGAATTTTAAAAAATTTATTTTTATTTAGTGTCACTTGGCATCATAAAGCAAAAAAAAAAGGATTGAGTCTTGACCAGGAACATGGCAAGCTTCTAAGTAAAATTTGCAAGGAGATCGCTTTACAATTATACTTTTACTGTCGTAATTTATTGCATTGTGTGTGATTATTACCCCACGTTATGAATCAGTCGCTCCTGGACCTCGGCACCCTCAGGGCAAAATACAAGGAGCTCTGTGAGTCTTAGCACGGATGGGCAGTGGGGCCCCTGAACCCATACAATTATACTTTTACGTCGTAATTAATTACATTGTGTGGGATTATTACCCCACGTTTTGTATCAGTCATTAAGCAGCTAGTGCAGGCACTGACATGATGGATTAATGATATTGATACATGATATTTTATTTATTTCCTTATGGATAGTGCTACTATATTTAAAAATCCTAAAATATATTGATATTGAATACATGGTGATGCCGATTGAAAATATATGAAAATGAGTGTCGGCATATGTAAATTATGTTATCTTATATGTCCTCATTGTTATCTCAGATGTCCTCACTGCTATCACGAGTGTCAAAAATGTCCTCACCGTAATTTTACACCTCCTCTATTGTATGGTGCTTTTCCTTATTGCTTACCTACTTGTCGTCATTGTTATCACACTTGTCCTCACTGTTATCTCTTTGGTCATCGCCCATCACCTGTCTTACATGAACTCATTGTTTTCCTATGTTTCTTTACTGCTATCTAATGTGTCCCCACTGTTATCTTATGTGTCCTCACTGTTATCTCTTTGGTCATCGCCCATCACCTGTCTTATATGTCCTCATTGTTTTCCTATGTTTCTTTACTGCTATCTAATGTGTCCCCACTGTTATCTTATGTGTCCTCACTGTTATTTTACGTATCTTTAATGTTATCTTACGTCTAGTTTAGGACGTCCTCGTCCATGGTCACGCTGATGCACCGATTTAGTCGTCCGGTGTCGTCAAGCCGTCGATAGGCAGGTCGTCAGCCATCACCTGTCTTACATGTCCTCATTGCTTTCTTATGTTTCTTTACTGCTATCTAATGGGTCCCCACTGCGTTATCTTATGTGTCCTCACTGTTATTTTACGTATCTTTAATGTTATCTTACGTCTAGTTTAGGACGTCCTCGTCCATGGTCACGCTGATGCACCGATTTAGTCGTGCGGTGTCCTCAAGCCGTCGATAGGCAGGTCGTCTCGCCAGCGGGGTCCCAGAGGTAACGTTAAACGTGACTACCGTGCATCTACCCTCATTTGATCCAGCTGATGTAAAATGCTGCTGCTTGCATCTTACTGATAGTAATGTAGTGTAACAATGTATTGTGTGTAGTGTTATTTAGTGTAGACGGAGGATTCGGGACCGTGCACAAAATCGCATCCAGACTGTATTTCTCAAGGGTGAACTACCTTTTGAAAAATCGGACCGACCGCTGAAAGATTTCCCTCCGGAAAGTCTGAACTCTGACCGCAGCTTTATTATTCAATGAAGGTATCTTGTACAATATCTCCTTTCCCTCATTGTGATGCGTCATAATCATGAAGGTCCCGCATTCGAAGTTAGGAGCCAAGCATGCAGTGTGTTAAGTAGTTTTCATCTTCCAGATATAGATGACAATATGACATACCTCTCCCGTCTCCTCTCCAATAAGAACAGTTTCAGGTGCTCCAACTTTCCACAGTAGCGCAGAACCCTCATCGTAGACGTGAATGTCCGTTATACTGCTCTTATTTCTTTTGAAGGTGCTTCTAGCATATATCTTTCCTTACTAAGCTGACATTCTGCCCTACCTGACGGTACCATTGCCATCTCTGTACGTTGATTTATGCTTTCACGACAGATCGTGAAAGAGGGGCGGGTGGGGGAGTTCTTTAACAAATTAGTTACGAGTTAGTTAGCTGCTGAGCACTTTATATATAGTGTCTACTTGAGTTGAACTTCAGTTACCTGTTTAGTCACATCTTAAAAACTTCGAAAAAAAAAATAAATGCAAAAATGAATCCGAAAGCCTTCTTTTTGCACGCTAGTTCGAAGTATGAGTCAAATGACGGTATATCTGATTTGAAAGTATACCAACGAAAGATTTCCTCTGATGAGGGCAAGGCTAACGTTCTTAATCAGTTCTTCAGCAGTGTGTTCACAGATGAGGACTTCGCATTCACCGTTAAGTCCTTATTAAAACTTGTCTTGAATTATTTCTCCGATTCATTTTTCGTTCGACTTCACATTTCTTTGTACTTTTTAATGATTCTCGTCATGTAAGAAAGCTGCTCTTATGTAAGTAAATCATTTCTAACTTCAGTTTTTATGTTTCATTGTTGTTTGAGAAATGACGAGGTCATTGTAAGCGATGACCTGTAAGCCTTGTTACGTAAGGCGTGAGCTGCAAGCCCTTCTTAGGGTATGATAACAGACATTTCTTGAGGAAAACACTCTGAACTTCAACAGGAAACAGGCTCATTTATTGGAAAAACCGACACATTCACGGTAACAGAAGACAGGCGGGAAACAAAACCGTTAAACATGTCACTATACAATCAACGTATAGTCCTGACTGCCCCAATGAATCCCCACCCACACGTGTTCCCCCAGCCTGCGTGAGGTGCTGCTGTACGTGCTGCAGGCATTGAGTAGGGACAGCCCTCGTCATTTCCAGCGGCGGTGGCCGGAGCTGAAGGAAGCGCTGCGCCACGCAGGCGTCACCGCCGCGGATGCTGTGAGGGACTGCGTCACGCGCTGCCCTGACCACGCTGGGACCGTGGCCGAGCTCGCGGCCCTGGTGGAGGACGGGGACTGGCACGTCTACAACGGTAGGTAACTTTCAATCATGTTGTGTTGGTGGCGTTCACTCTCGCTCGGTGTGGTTGGTAACGTTTACTCATGTTGATTTCGGTGGATGACGTTCACTCATGATACATGTGGTGGGTAACGTTTACTTGTGTTTAGTTTGGTTGGGCGACGTTCACTCACGTTTGGTGTGGTTGATAACGTTTTCTCATGCTGATTTCGGTGGATGACGTTCACTCATGTTACATGTGGTGGGTAACGTTCACTTATGGTGAGTTTGGTTGGGTGACGTTTACTCACGTTGGCTGTGATGGGTAACGTTCACTCATGTGTAATCAAATAACGCACATATAACTGCTGCAATCAATTTTATTCAGAACCCATTGCAAGCTCTCCGATTACGCCAAAGAATTTCGGAGCCGAAGTGGAAATTCATCGCTGAAATGAAGAACCAACTATATAACTGTATAGAAACGCTATGAGCTGATAAGTTTCGTAGGTCAAAAATTATATTCAACATTTAATATTTGAACGTCAACAGAAATAAACACGGCAATAGCCGAACTCAAACCCCGAAACCTGACACAACAGGAGCTGGCAAATAAAAAATAGGACGAGGAGGCGAGCGCTATAAGCCGGGCAGGCAGCAAGTACATCAACGGTAAGACGTACACACAGGAAGCGTAATTATTCTGAAAGTGATAATACAACTATTAGAATTCATCGCAGAGTGAGAACTGAATAAGCGAATATTACTATGACAAGCCAATATGCGCAATACTGATTTAAGGCATTTCGATGATAAATAGTACAAATATGCACCTTCTAAAATATTGCCGCAGGCGGTACTCGGAAGTGGTGTAATGACCTATTAGCAACTATTTAATTAAGGGTAAGTTAATAAATTAAGGCCGGCCCAACCTCAAGAAGGTTGTGGTTAGTAAGAGAGCCAATAAATGCACCTATAACAAACGTGTGATAATACAGTGAACCAAATATTCACATCGTGACAGATGGAATAGCCAGCTGGTTCCCGCATCAAACAAGAGCCTTGAGGCGAGCTTGGCAATAAATTTAATAAACGCGTCCAAAGGCATAATTTATTGGGTTGGACCACGACGGGAAAATTATATGCATTAGGTAATTATTTAATTATAAAGGCACTTTACATGCGTAAATTCAATAGGATTAGCGGAAAGCCATCACAAAAAAGACGAGGTAGTCAGTAGTCACCAACTTCAAACCTCTTGTAATCACGCCCTTGTTCCCTGATTTCAACTACCTTAACCTACACTTATTCTTTTTAGTCGCTACAACATTAATATGGAAAAACGTCTTATACATGGTGGGTGTGGCGAGTGAGGTCCTTTCATGTTGAGTGCAGTGAGTGACGTTCACTCTCTAACAAAATTTGATCCTAAGCTAGTCAGCTACGAGAGTCTGGCCACTGGGCGGTAAGTATTGGGTTCTTCCCAGTATGCCCGGCAGCTCTGGACGAGCCTAACAGTGAGATAAAAAATCATCCCTATTCCGCCTTAATGGGAGGAAGAGACGGCCAATCCAAGAATAGGTTAGGTTGCTTTCAATACCTGCTTCTAAAATGAGGATCCCAGAAAATTCAGAACCCTGGGTGATAATGCGCGTGGGAAAAACATTTTCCACTCACTTCCGTAGGAATAATACAAAAAACGGTAAAAATTCACTAATTGCTAAACGAAATCATAACAGTGTTACGAAATATCTATTATGCGGAACGTTGCTAAATTGATTCATACCAAAGTATTGAGAAATGGACGAAAAATCAAAAACGTTTTACTAACATTCTAAGGTGCAAATTGGTAACTGCTATATACCCACTCTATGCAATCTCACTGGTAGGAATTTACAGCGGCGGAGAACGTAATAATTAATATATATTTGCTTACATACCCAGTTGAGCAGTGCAAGTGACATCAGTTACAAAGTATAAAGTTGTTCTGACATTATATTAGACTCGCTTCATGTGCACTCCGGTGAAAGAACGATCATGTATCGCAGGACCGAAACCGTGTCTAGAAGATTAGAGATTTATCTCGCAGCGCGCTATGATAACAATAGAGGTTTCAACGTTTAGTAGGCCGTAGGCCTCTCGCTGATTCTTAACATTGCAGAACATTCACAGCACTCACTGCTTCTGCTGTGCTTAACCGCCCGGCCTCATTGCCGATTCTGACCAGAAACTGGCGCACAGAGCTGGGATCGCACCCGCGCCTCTCTGCGCCAATCTTGGAACTCTGAACTTTAACCACTAGCTGGGCCAACCTGCCCTACACGTGTATGCTTACAAAATTTTAATTCTCACTGATGACGACAATAGAAAAACATTAAATTATCCTTTCTAGACCATTCACAAGATAAATTTATAAATAAATTTTCAGATTTTTTATTTTCTACAACACAGTTTATTAAGAAATACTTAACTCATATTTGTGAACCATCCAATGCATCAACATTGGTTCGTCGCTGTAGTGAGAGCTTTGCTTGTATTTCCATTGTTTGGGAAAACTAGATAATCGCAATTTTTCCGTACCCACTAAAAATGTTTCTCTTAAATATTGGTTCCCTAACGGTGGTATTCAAGTGGATTCCAGAAGATACGAAATCAATTTTGGGTAGAGCAATTTCTTGCATCATAATTTTTCTTGTCCAACACGAGGTGCCTTGCAATTATTTGCAAAAATTGGCACACGCTACAATCAAGATCCCAGTACCGCACCATTAAATTGGAATTGTTCATTAACTTCATTCACTTATATTATTCAAATGAGAAGAAAGAAATACAGACCATGAAGATCTAAAATTTCCATAAACGCAAATTTAAGCAATCGAGATCGTATGCCAACGAATAAAAAAATGAATACGAAGGAATTCACGCGTACGAGCACCGACTGCGTTATTACAGTATTACGGCTAAAGGGCAAGCTCGTCTTTTAACGTCCCGCAGCATACTACCCAATGACTTCTGCTCTGAGCTTGCGGTGCAGCCCTTGGGCAGCTTGCAAGCACCGTAGACATGACCGAGCCCAATCATGTCGTACTTTCATGTGATAATAAAGTTACCATGGATATTCTGATATGTCGCTGATTTCGTTCGGGTGGCCATGCAGACCGAGAATAACATTGGAACCAACTGTAGCGAGTCTGCCGCAGAAAGCTCTACCCGGCCGAAAATTTTGGTAGGGAGCAATCAAAAAAATGACTTTAATCCGACCGAAATAAGTCTTCCACAGAAGCATACGCATACCCCGTATTTTGAAAGTGATAATGTTGGGTTGGTTGGTGGAGTTCACCCATGCTGGGTAAAAATGTTGACGTCCACTCATGTTGATAGTGGCGAGTCACGTTCTCTTTTGGCGAGTATGATTGGTAAGACTCACTTATTTTGGGTGTGCACTCATTTTGGTTGCGGTGGGTGACGTTCACTCATGTTGGTGTGACGAGTGATGTCCACTCCATTTTATTTGACGACTGTCGCTTCTCAACTTCCTCATCCTTATAAGTCCACAAAATTATTAAATTTCGTCATATTTTGGCCGCCACAGGTCACCATGTAGAAGCAGTGACTGAAATGCTGCACCAAACGAAACCACGGCATCTGATGGTAGTAATTGACGTCTTCGCCCTGAGGGGGGTGCCTTGGAGGGAGCTCGTGACAGGGGCAGAGGGCGTGGAGATCGCGCTTACTCTCCGTCCTGACGACTACGAGCCCCATGACAATTTTCTTCTGCCGCTGCAAAACAGCGGGTAAGAAATAGCAGGTTCAGGTAAGAACCTGAAGGTGCAGGTAAGAACCCTGTATGTGTGGGTAAGAACCTTGCAGGCTCCGGTGAGAATCCTGAAGGTGCTGGCAAGAGCCCTGCATGAAGGTGCCGGTTATAACTAGATATGAAGCAAGATACGATTAATTTATAGGCGAACTGAGATCACAGAGAAGTTTCCCCGGCGAAGACAGCAGCTTAAAAAGTACGACAATCTAGGGAGCACAATACAAATTGTCGGTTGAATAGATTACACAGGTTCAGTGATCAGGGAAAACATTTATGGAGAAAACATTTGTTTTATATTAGAACACGATCATAGTTTTATATTAGCATAGTATTATATTTATGTTTTCTATTACAATACACACGCTCATTTATGGCATAAAAATCACATATACCTTCTTTTCCATTCATATTGATTAAAATAAGTACTAAAATTAAGTCTATCAGCATAGTTAAAGGTAAATCGGTTCATCCAAACTGAACAACAAGTCCGATTATTTCAAGCTTGATTTAGCAGCATGCAGGCTCCTGTTTGTCCAAGGAATTCTATCCAGTTGATGTTCAGCATTGAAACAATTGGGTCGATCGACACTACAAGTTACAATCTAGTGCGATGCTGCAATCACCTTAACGCGGCCAAGGCTGACCAAATCTATTTACTTATACGCGATGAAATAATTTTTTGGGAATATTCAATTAATTTAAATTCAAGAACCTTGAGGATAACACATATACAAACACACATAATCAAGAAAAGCATTTCAATCAGTTATTGTGTTTCTATTTTACATACCAAATAATCGTTAGAAAACTGGAAAATGATGAACGGCACGTTATTGCATGCATCGTTCGTTATGTGACCAAATGGGCATGAACACTGAGTAAACAGCCGTGATATTGCTCTCGAAAAAGGAAAGAATAATCTGATATTGAATTTTTTTCGAATGCAAGTGAGATATTAATGAATATCTCGATAATTTGCTTTTAAACTAAATTTTGTACGGCTTACCCTAAATTCATAAGCTAGATTTCGCTTTGAAATTTTAATTACGCCCAATTTTTGCTGCTTACAATACCCCGAGCTTCAAACTTGCTAAATTTTTAGCTCCGTTTTTTATGAACTGTCTTACCACCAATCAGTATACGGTAGACAATACTTACATGTTCGTGGATCGCTTAAAGAATTTCGCTAATACATGAGTTCAGATTGAGACGCCGTGGAGAGTAGACGTGCTGTGTGTCGCTCTAGGAGCCTGACCGATTTGTTTCCTGTATTGAATTGTGTCCGGAACTTTATTATCGTCGGGCGGCCGTGCTGCACTTTCGGAACTTATGATAGGTACACCGTCGGGCGGTTTTGTTGTACAGGCTTGTTTCCGGTGATTTATTGTTTCCGGCGATTTACTGCTGTGAGAGACCCTAGCTAAATCTCAGTGATGGAACCCGGAAATCATTAAACAATTAGGAAAGAAGATATTTCGATGGCTGGGAAGAAAGTAAACAAGATTGTTAAGAAGGAATGCGGTTCTTCGAAACAAGATGCACCGAAAAATCGAAAAGGAGATCGAAGTGCGTAGTTGAAGATGCTTGCAAGTTCTGCAAAGAGACCTCGTGGAGAGAAGATGATCGGATGGTCATCTGTGAACACCGTGAGGATTACATTTGCATCAGCTGCACGAAGCTGAGCTCTGATGAGTATTTTTTCCTGCAGAAAACAGTCGTTTCACTGGTTCTGCAGCGACTGCGAGAAACCGACTCTTAGTGCCCGAAAAAGCGAGAAGCAGATGGAAGTGAAGTGGTTCTCTCTGTTCGCAGCATTTGTTCGCAGAAATGGAGAACAATTATCGGAAAAAATTAGCACGTTGAGTAATTTAGTTGGCTCTTTGAGTAATGAACTGAGCTCGTTGCAAGAGGCTGCGCTCCAAGAATGTTAATGCTAACACATGCAAACCCTCTATTTGTGGCTGTGAAGGATCCGGCCCAGGTTTGGAGCGTGCTGAAAGCAGCGAAAAAATTAGGAGAAACTGTTGAATTCAAGTCTGTTTTTGTGAAGAAGGATTCCACCCCTTTAGAGAGGGCGGATTTCCGCAGGAAATGGCAGGAGCGAAACAGACGCAGAAGCACGGAAAATCAGGTCACATACATTCAAGATCTCACGAGGACTCCTACCGCTCGCCGACAGTCAGGGGAGATGGAAGACAATTAAATAGTGGAAATCATGTACCTAAATCCAGTTCTGTAAATATGGTAAAAAGTTTACTCATACATAAAAATGGAAGAGCACACAACAATTTGAAATGTTTTCACACGCAAACGAGTGTATTGACATTATTTGTATTACAGAGACACTTCTTAAAAATCATCAACTTGAATTAAACGAAGAGCAGTGCTGTAGAGGTGTAGTTCTGTGGGTTAGAACCTTTTATGGGGCCCAACAAGTTAAGTTATCAGCAGAGCACCAATCAGCTAGACTAGAGAATCAGTGTGGTGTGAGCTTTCCCTAACAAGCAGGGATAGCCTCCTTATAGGTGTCCTGTATAGAACACAGTAACAGTTTCTCTGAAAACGATAAAATACTGAACAGTCTCCTACCGAGCATGACTTTCAGCAGGTCGCATACGTTGATCGTTGGTGACTTTAACCATACAGAAATAGACTGGACATATGAATAATCTACAAGGGATGAGAATCACCCTTCATCCTTGTTCATGGAGTCTGTGAGAGACTCATTTTTATACCAGCACATCACAAAACCAACCCATTTTAGAGGTAATCAGACTCCAAATACTCTAGACCTAGTGTTTACTAGTGAAGAATCAATGGTAGAAGAGCTTCGCCACGAGGCTCCGTTGGGCTAAAGTCACCACCAGTCACTGTTTTTCAGTATTAAGTGCTATCCAGAAAAGACGCCACGGAAGCGTGAACGCTTCAACTTTGCTGCGAAAGGCGACAATGTTAAACTTTGCGAATCAGTGAGTGCAGCGAACATTTCGGACTGTATTATGAACTTGAATGTGGCGGAGTCGTGGTCATTCATCAAGATTATGGTTATGTCTGCAGTTGATGAGTGTGTACCTAAGATGAAGCTCGGTGGAGTAAGAAAAACACAGTGGATGAACAATACGGTCAAAGCAAAGCTAAAGGCAAAGAAAGAAGCCTACAAGCGTTATATACGGACACGTAGCGATGCTGAGCATAACCTGTACGCAACAGCTCGAAATCAAGCTAAAAAAACTTGTCGCACCGCAGTCAAGAACTTTGAAAAAGATATTGCCAAAAACTAAAAAAACGAAAGCCTTCTTCTTGTATGCTAGTTCGAAGTGTGAGACAAGGGACGGTATTGCTGATTTGAATGTCGAGTGGAAACTCTCGGACCCCACACTGAACACACACAATTTACCAGTGAGGGATAACTCAGCTAAAATAACCTTGGCACAATACCTCGTTTACAGCGCAACAAAATGAACTAGCCTCATAATTCATGTACATAAGAAGATAATATGATACAATTCAATATGTAATCCTAGTTTTAATCCTCCAGCAGAATAATCACAAGTCAATGGTCGAATAATCATTAACTAACTCTAAAGAGATCGAGTTCTCAGTCATCCAAGACCAGTGGATCCCTGAAGGGAATAAACTCGCACCCCGCTCGAGGCTGGCAGCTGATTCGACCAATCGCGTTAGAGCTACAAGACGTTCAGCCACACATCGACATATAGTTACACCAATAACTGAATTCCCTGAATTAACAAAATATTATCATAGTCATAAAAGAGGTTTCTTGCTTCTGTCACGAAATGAAAAATATGTCTACGCATAACTTAGTCATACATAAGTAAAATCCTTAAAGTAAACAAAATAATATCACAGGTATATGAGACTGCATATTCTAGTTTTAAAATAAATGAATTCAATCATTATCTTGTCATTAATCAACAAAAGAAAGTCATCAAAAGAACGTGTAGTCAGCACGTTCTTCTTCCAGCTCTTTCGGCATAAATGTTAAGGCTTGTTGAACCCCACCTGAACTCGATATCATACATATGGGGTCTCTAACGGGATGGAATAAATACTTTTAATACGAAGCAACTGATTGAATTTTCTCATGACTGAAGACGTGAATTGCCTTTCCTGATTGTACAAATTCTCTGATGGCAGGCCAAATCTGCAAAACATCTCAAGCAAAGCTTCGGCAATGGTTTCATTATCAATACGCTTTTAAGTAATCGCATCTGGATGTTTGGTCGTTAGGTCAATCATGACAAGAGCAAAACTGTTACCTTTCTGACTCTTCGACAATGGTCCTATGATGTCCACATCTACGCGCTGAAATGGTCCTCCGATTATAGGCATTTTGATTGATGGTAATTTAAGGACGATAACATGCAACAGACGAATATCATTGTGATAGCCTGGTCAAAAACGTTCCAATACTCAACCTTCGTTTTCTGAACGCCCAAGTGTCCATCAGTAATACTGGTGGAGAAAATGATAATTCCATTACTTTCTTCCTCATTTCTGAGGGCATCACTATTTGTTTCACAACATTCAATAGCGATTTCCTGTCCGGTGTCAATTCACTTGACCTGATAGAGATTGAGGACGAGTCAACATCTGATATAGACACGTGATAGATCACGCGATCCTTTCACATGCTTATCTAACCAATATATCGTTTTCGGGTGAAAATTTTGGAGAATTAGTCGCGTTAGCATCTACAAGTTGAAAATAAGTTTTTCTCCAATCATTCGACTTGTAATGACAAGGACAGCGGTAACACCGGTTTCTCGTAAATTTTTTACTTCTTTTCCATTAAAAATGTGTTTTAATATAAGCCTCACTTTTATATGAATGAAGTTTATTTTAGGAGGCCCGTTCACGGAAGAGGACCCTAACCAAAATATCGTGCTGAGGGCTTCTTTGACACATTTTTACATTCAAATCGATTACGTCACCGTTAATTTTAACCATCCCTGAAATTTCGAACAATTTCACGCACATAATTCAAATGGTCACGTATAATATCCATGACATTCTTCCTCTCGTTTCCACTCATAATGTTAAATTAATATTAATATCAATAGTATCAACATTACACTCCCATCAGACACATATTCAACCCAGCCATCATTCAACTCTCAAAAACATTCACCACATTATTAAACATTTCCTACTGCATTGAGATCGACTGATCCAGCCATAGCCAGAAACCATCACTTTATCGACTGAGCGTTGACTGCTCTAGTCTCATCCTCATGTACAACAGGTATTGACGTAGACATATCCAATTGTTGAGCTGTTTTATCTGGATCTGCTGCTGTCGACAACCGGCAATATAATGCATCAGAAAATTCTTCATTCACTATTTCATGCGCTCCATCAACTAGAAGTTCAGTCAATAGAATCTTTCACCATAGCAATCACATATGTGTCATTGAATATATCCATCTGGGAAACACTTTTCAGAATCTCGTAGAGATAAAATTTTTCTTACAGGTTACAGGTAATAAAATTCTTTCAAATCATTACGAATGAACATTCTGCAGAACAAAAGCTAATAAATTCATCGACATTTTCAGCATCTATAGATGCACACCATACAGTTAATTCTAGAATAATTATCATCTGCCTCAAATTCGTTGCCAGACGCTGTATATATGTATTACGGAAGCCAAATTAGAGAAAAATACAACTCGTGAGAATTTTAAAAAATTTATTTTTATTTAGTGTCACTTGGCATCATAAAGCACAAAAAGGGGATTGAGTCTTGACCAGGAACATGGCAAGCTTCTAAGTAAAATTTGCAAGGAGATCGCTTGTTTTCCTATCGTCTAAATTGCAATGTATTGCTAAATACCGATAATTTTTCGTGAACAATACCGCATTACTCGGCATTGCTCCTTCACATTTTTCATCTTCTTGGTACTTGTTTGGAACGTAGCAGTCCCAGGCCACGATGGATCGCCGCCTGTGATTATCGTTCATCCGCCCTCATTTGGGCCACCTGATGCACGATGCTGTTGCTTGCTTCTCGCCGCTGATAGTGTTGCAGGGGAGGTCGATCTGGGATTGTGCCCAGGAAAACGTCCAGTTGTCTCTTGAAGGTCTCCTGATCCCTCATAAACTGAGTACATTATATTCATGCCTCATCATTACCGCACTTGGTAACAGGGTGAAGCTGGTTCACTTCAGCGGGTGCGTGGGCACACAGGCCGGAGTGGTCGCCATAGCGTCTGCGGCGCGTGATGCTCGCCTCAGCATCCGCATGGCGGCGCTCCTGGACCTCGGCACCCTCAGGGGAAAATACAGGGAGCTCTGTGAGTCTTAGCACGGATGGGGCAGTGGTGCCTCTGAGCCCATACAATTATACTTTTACTGTCGTAATTAATTGCATTGTGAGTGATTATTACCCCAAGTTATGTATCAGTCATTAAGCAGCAAGCGCAGGCACTGGTATGCTAGATTACATTATATTGGTACACGATATTCTATTTTATATTCATATGGAGAGTGCTATTGTTGTATATTTAAAAATCCTAAAATATATTGATATTGAATATATGGTGATGCCGATTGAAAATAGATGAAAATGAGTGTCGGCATATGTTAATTATGATAACTTATATGTCCTCATAATTATCTCATATGTCCTCACTGCTATCACGAGTATCCGAACTATTATCTTAAATGTCCTCACTGTTATTATACACCTCCTCTATTGTATGTTGCTTTTCCTTTTTGCTTACCTACTTGTCGTTATTGTTATCACACTTGTCCTCACTGTTATCTCCTTGGTCATCAGCCATCACCTGTCTTACATGTCCTCATTGCTTTCTTATGTTTCTTTACTGCTATCTAATGGGTCCCCACTGCGTTATCTTATGTGTCCTCACTGTTATTTTACGTATCTTTAATGTTATCTTATGTCTAGTTTAGGACGTCCTAGTCCATGGTCACGCTGATGCACCGATTTAGTCGTCCGGTGTCGTCAAGCCGTCGATAGGCAGGTCGTCTCATCAGCGAGGTCGCAGAGGTAACGTTAAACGTGACTACCGTGCATCTACCCTCATTTGATCCAGCTGATGCAAAATGCTGTTGCTTGCATCTTACTGATAGTAATGTAGTTTAACAATGTATTGTGTATAGTGTTTAGGGTAGACGGACGATTCGGGACCGTGCACAAAATCGCATCCAGACGTCTCTTGTATTTCTCAAGGGTGGACTCCCCTTTGAAAAATCGGACCAACCACTGAAAGAGTTCCCTCCGGAAAGTCGGAACTCTGACCGCAGCCTGATTATTCAATGAAGGTATCCTGTACAATCTCTCCTTTCTCTCATTGTGATGCGTCACAATCATGAAGGTCCCGCATTCGAAGTTAGGAGCCAAGCATACAGTATGTTAAGTAGTTTAGATATACAATATGACATACCTCTCGATCCCGTCTCCTCTCCAATAAGAACAGTTTCAGGTGCTCCAACTTGCCACAGTAGCACAGAACCCTCATCGTAGACATGAATGTCCGTTGTACTGCTCTTATTTCTTTTGAAGGTGGTTCTAGCATATATCTTCCATTCCATGTGGCCTGCTAGAGGGTATGTACATATTGAGAAGATGGTAAGTTTGGAAAACGATGAAAATCAAAATGAACCAGATACCCATCATTGGGGTCTGGGGCAGTGGTAGAGATGGTGGCAACGTAAGCGTCGGGGGTTGAAACAGAGAAGAGTTGAATGAGTACAGAGGTAATTGTGGGAGCAGTGCTATGACTGAGGAAATGTAGTTGGTGCGGAAGGGGATGATAGAGGTCGCTTTAGCTACGCAAGATGCCGCTTAGGCCTGACATGCCTAGATGAGACAGATTTGTTTGTTACATGGTGGTACAACTTGAGTTCAGTGCACTGCAGATGAATGAACAACCGGCAATCAATGCACAGCTTGGCCAATTGAGCGTTACATATATTTTTCAGATTGCGCACGAGCTTCCTTTTTGTGGGTCCCATCAGAATAAATTTGGCCGTCATACTTCACCTAATCTCAGTATTACAATGTATATTCCGTTCTACAAGATTCGCAAGCCTTCCACTAGTCACCGCTAGTTACTACTTTGCTTACGATTAGGCTGCCTCAAGATGAAGGCTTTAGATACTGCAATAGAAACTGGACTCGACATAGAAACTGCGAGCTTTGAAACGCCGTGAGTAAACATTTGATTGATTTACCGCCGCCTTACAGCATTTACTGCTTCTGTTTTATTTACTGATTTCTTGTGCCAACTTCACTATCTGCTTTTGCTGTTTCACTACTTTACTATAAAAACTACATTCCTTTTTAATTTGTTCCTCTTTTGCCGAGTGTAATTCAGCCCGCATGAGTGGCTGCCTAAAACCGAAATTTTGAAAGGAGTAATTTTCCTGAACACTTCCAACTGATACTTTTACTGACTTACTGAGGTCCATTTTTTCCGACGATCACTAAATATCATAACACTTAAGCTCAAGTAGTATGAATAGAACAAGCGGCACACCTTATGATGAGTTTAGGATTTCGTAGTCCAAGGTCAAGCTGGTGCTCCGTCATCGTCGTCCTCCGACTCAAAGTCTTCGATAGGCAAGTCGCCCCGCCCTCGGGTCCCGCATGTAACGTTGAACGTGATCCGTCTATTTGCCCTTCTTTGGGCCAGCTGCTGTAATATACTGTTGCTTGTCACTTACTGAGGGTGGTTTCCCATAACTGGACAATCCGGAATCTTTCTCAATCACTTGTCCAGTCGTCTCTTGAATGTTGCAAGGGTAAACTCCCCACCTCTCAGCACTTTCGGCAAGGCATTAACCAGTCTCGGTTCTGCCACGGACAGTGATCCCTCACGAAGAGTCTACTGTGGCCGCGTCTCGGTTATTAAATTTGGGAATCCTGCACAGTCTTCCCTCGTTTCGTTGTAATATGTCACTATTCTGGAGGTCTCACTCTCAAAGTTGGGAGCCAGGCCGGTTATCATCTTCCAAGTGTACAGTATGACATACCTTCCTCTTTCCCTCTCCAGTAAGTACAGTCCCAGTTGTTTCAGCCTTTCCTGGTAGTTCAGGTCGAGCTCCCTCAAACCGCTGATCCTGGACGCGGAGGGCTGCCGGACTGATTCCAGTTTCCGCACCGCGCCCGCCTTGAGCTGCGCCCAAAGCTGGCAGCAGTACTCAAGATTGGGGAGCACGAGGGTTCTGAAGAGTGTAATCATTGGTGCTGCTTTTCTCGTTCAAAATGTCTGCCAGATCCAAACCATCCGTTGTCTGCTTCGGGCTACTATTTCCCCGATGTGGTTATCGAATGTGGCTTCGGTACCATCAACACTCCGTGATCTCGAACAAGTTGTTTCTCCTTAATTTCTGTGCCATCCGGTGCCAAGTAGCCAAGATATCGATGTGGCATCCCTGCCTCTGTGCCGACTCTGTATCCCATTACTTCGAACATGTTGAACTGCATTTTATTAACTAGGGCCCAATCGGCAAGTCATTCTGCAACCTCTCGCAGTCTATGTTCTCTGTGATACTCATCAACACTCATGTGTCGTCGGCAAATGGCGATGTAAATGCGTGGGTAAGCTCTGAGTCAATATAAGCGATGTTGATGAGGAAGAGGATCGGTCCTACCACCGAGCCCTGTGTTACTTCGCTTTTCACCCTTGCTTCTTTCGATTTCGAGTTTCCAATTGCGACAGCTTGTACTATATTTGCAAGGAAATTGTGGATCCACATTAACAGACTTCCTCCTATCCCCAACAGCCTTAGCTTACTAAAGAGCACCCCATAGTCAACTTTGTCAAAAACTTTAGCAAAGTCCAGGTGCACTGCGTCTACGTCAGCTCCCTCCTCCAGTAGGGCCACAAGGCGGTGATGGTGCTCCAATAACTGTGACAAACAGGAACGATACCGCCGTAAACCATGTTGTCCATTATTATTCAGTTCAGCCTCTTCCATGTACTGGATAAGCTTCCAGACTACTACCTTCTCAATCTCAAAAACCTTGATCACCTGTGAGGTCACCGGCCTGTAATCTTGAGATCTGTCCCCGGGCCTCCTTTGTGGATTGGAGTTATCAGTCCCACTTTGAGGCCCTCAGGAATAATTCCCTCCATCACCGAGGCTTTCCAGAGCATTGTGAGCGGAGCCTTCACTGCTTCAACACACTTCTTCAACAGCACTGCCGGAGTTCCATCCGGTCCTGGTGCTGAAAACGTCGCCAGTTCTTTGATACTTATTTCCATTTTTTCTGGTCCAAACTCGATGTTCTTTAATCCCTTCCCTCCATGGCAGCTCGTGGAGAAATTCGATTTCATTCTCCTGTTTTGAGTAGCGGGGGTTACTGAACACTGATTCAAACTGCGATCCTAGTAATTCGCACACGCCCTGGTCATCTCCAACAAGGACATCGTTATCCTTCAGCTGGCCAACTTGCGTCTTTATTTTAGCCTTGGAGTTTGCGTATTTGAAAAAATGCTTTGGGGTTCTCGCTGATGACCTCTACTACTCGTTCCTCGAAAGCTTGTTCTTCCATCCTGTGCGAGTCTTGCAACCTGCGTTCCGTTTCCTTGTGGAACTCTACTAGTCTCTGTCTCAGAGCGGATTCAGCTATGTTTGTTTATTCGTTTGCGTTTTCTCATGAGGATTCGCCTATCTCCCGTAATGCTGTGGACATTGGGGCCAGTTTTTCTTGGGGTATAACGTGCACACACCTGTGATAATTTATCACGTAGTTTTGTATAAATTTCCTCTGAATTCATCTCGTAAAACTCTTCTCTTCAGTCGGTTTCGTCAAGTTTATTCCAACTTGCTACCCAATCCGTTCTTCGATGGTGAAAATTAAGTCTTGCCAGTTATTTCTGGGGTATAACCCTAAAGTAACCTATAAGTAACCTATGAAGTATAACCTATAAGCAGTAATAGACTGAAGTATCAGTTCAGAGGATCCACCATCACCAGCCGGTGGTCGGACAGTGAGGTTTTTTCAACCCGAACGTCCTCCACCATTCTTTTATTTTTAGTAAAAAAGAATTCGAGGATATTGTGTTCCCTTGTCAGCAGCCGAACTTGCTGACTGAGCAAGTGCTCCGCAGCAAACTTTACTAGTTTGGCATCTTGACTTCTGTCGTGGTCATCTACCTCCAAGCCGCCAGGGCTTGTCCAATGGATACGTTGGATATTGGATTCCCCCCATTATCAGGCTGAGTGAGAGCTGGAGCACCCAGTCTTTATTTCCTAAAAATGTCTTAAAATTTTCCGCTGGGCAAGCAGGCGGCTTGTAGACTACAGCTGCGCAGAGGTCAAATTCTTTTATGTGGAGTAGCACGTGTTCAACAAAGCCATCAGATTTACTGAATTCCGATCTCAATTCCACCTTGCTTCTTGCGAGGGAGTTCCTAAGGTAAACAAGTGCCTCTCCTTTCTTCCTACCTTCTTTTCGGTCCGCGCGGTAGTGTTGGAATCCTTCCATTGCAATTTCTGCATCAAGGATCTTTTCCTAGATGCAACTCCGTTAGTGCAATCATCCCACCCTCGTCTGCCATCTCTCTCAGCACGCCAATTTTGTGACGGACTTTTTGTGGGAAGAGCTCCTCGGTGTTGGCCAGCAGAATGCCAGACTCTCCTCTTCTTGGTACACTTATCTGCAGCGAAACCGCTCCGTCAGGCGTTTCTGGGTCAGCAGCTCCTTCATCTGGAGTTGCATTAGTTCCAGTTGCGGCATCTGATGTTGTATTTGCTTCCTCATCTCTAAAAAAAGCACTAAGGTTAACCTCTGTCCCCCGCGCGCGCCCCTGTCCCATACGCGTGGACCACTCACTGGAGTAGCTAGGTCGTCATTCCTTCTCAAAGAACTACACAAGTAACCGCAGCACACAACCGGTACACGTCTGTAAAATTCACGGCTGTCTTCGTTGTTATCTTATATGTCCTCAGCGATGTCGTACACGTCCACACTGTTACCGTCTACGTCCTCACTATTATCATATGTAACCTCACTTTGATCGTATATGTCCTCAATATCATCTTATGTACCCTTACCGTTACTTTATTTGTCTTCACTGTTATCTTAATGTCCTCTATGTTATCTTACATGTCCTTACTGATATGCTATGCGTGCTGTTTTCTTATATGTTCCTACTGTTATCTCACGTTTCCTCAATGTTATCTCATTGTCTTCACGTGTCGCGCAGTCGTATACACGCGCCCCCTACCACACCGTGGCCGCGCCTCCCTCGCTCGGCCGCTGCCCGTTTCTCCCCTGCCATACCTATACGTGGAGGGAGCAGAAGCGGGGTCTTGGAAGGCCGTGGCTTCCACTATCACCGCCTTTGCCCCTTCTGGTAAGAGGTGTGTAACACCCGACTCCCGCAGGTAGGGAAAATAGAGTTCCATTTATCACGAAAATTCGCGTCATTTATTGTGTTAATAAATAATTTCAAACAAATACATAATCGGAAACAGATATCGGAATAGCTGTGCGTCCGAAGGACGATTAAATTAGAGGAGTTGTGGGTTTAGGGACGATTATGTTGAGACGGTTGTGTGTTTTAGGACGATTATGTTGAGGCTGGTGTGCGTTTCAGGGCCGATTAATTTTGGGGAGGAGGGTTATGAGTCTAAAGGTGCTTATAAACGGGGCGAGTAGTCGCGTCGAGTATTTGAGTCAATTACTCGACTCCATATGTGATTATTAACGTCTTCAGGGGTGAGTTGCTGGTGCATTGCACCCAAAGCACTCTGTTCTGAGCCGGTCGAGTATGGCCAGTAGTCCAGTACCGCCTTGGCCGCTGTAGTGTGCATTACTGTGTCGCTCATTCTCGTGTTTGTGTCAAGTAACTTTCGTGCTGCGAGTATGTCTTGTTCAAACAACGAAAGCTCAAAGAAGAACGTGAAGTGAAGTCAAAGACGTGCAACAAGGATAATCCCAGGATTAAAGGGCAAGTCTTATGAAGAAAGATTGAAGATTATGAAGCTTCCCAGTCTCCGTTATCGTCGCCTGCGTGGTGACCTCATTTAAGTATACAAGTATACTCATGGTTTGTACAAGGTCCCAGAAAGATTACTAGAATTTGAAACAAGAACCAACACCAGGAGCCACAGCTATAAAATAAAAAAACTACGGTGCAACTTATCCACGCGACAACATTTCTTCTCGCTTCGAGTCACTGACATGTGGAACAGCCTCCCTGAAGATATTGTTGACGCTCCGAGTATGAGCGCGTTCAAGAACAGACTAGACAAGGTGAGCATATGTTTAGTCTTAAAATGCCTCGTACCCTACGGAACAACTGATATCTAGAAGCTATTTTAAATCTACCGTCCGTTGAAAAGATCTGATCAAAAGGCCAGTCTAGTCAAGAAAAGTACAAGAATCGGCGACAGGCCTATCCAGGCCTATTCTTTAAATGCCGAAGATACTATACTATATACTATACTAAGTCCGGGCGATATTGAGTGGTTTTTTGGGGACGTTCCACAAGTACGAATTACTTTGGAATGTACGTCATAATGACTATTCCAACAAAACTAAGCGAGACACTAGTCTTATAAAACTGAGAGACCTTATTTGACAAGGTTTGCTAGTTCCTGATCTTACATTTTTAAGGACGAGAAAAAGGACTATAGGATCAACCTACAAAATCGAATTAACAAACAACCTCCTCAAACTCGTAATCACCGTTACGTTCCAAATAATCCACAATGCACACACCTCACTCGACAACTCTCAACGTGGCTCTGGCGCCGGCGGACGGTACCGAAAACACTCGTGTATAGGCTATCAGCCGGCAAAACTGGGAATGTGAGTAGTCGACTCGACCACTCGCCCCGTTTATAAGCACCTTAAGGAACGATTGAATTGGTGGAGTTTCGCGTTTGGAGCACGATCGAGTTGGGAGAGCTGTGCTTCTGGTGGACGATCAAATCGAAGAGGCTTTATGTCTGAGGACGAATAAATTTAGGGTATTGTGTGTCTGGGGACTATTAAGTTTAGGGTGTCGTGCGTCTGGATGACGAATAAATTGTAGGAGTTGTGCATCTGAGGACAATAAAGTGTTGAGTGTTCTGTGTTTGGCTACGAGAGTTTAGGGAGTTGTGCGACAGGAGAACGATAAAATTGAAGTTGTGCATTTGGGGACGATCAGGTTTAGGGTGTTGTGCGTTTAGGGACGATCAAGTTAGTGGGCGTTTTGCGTCTAGAGGAAGAATAAAGTGGAAAGTTGTGCGTCTGGGGCACGATCAAATTTGGAAGAGTTGTGCGTTTAGGTATAAGATCGTGTAGGGAAGTTTTGCGTCTAAGTAATGACACTGAAGTTTTTGGTGCGTTTAGGGTAATGACAGTGCAGTTTGTCCGTCTACGAGAATGCCACTGCAGTTCATGGTACGTCTTGCGGAATAACATTGAAGTTGTGCGTACTGCGGAGGAAATGGCTCTACGACCACCCGGTTTTTCACGAATATTTTTTCTTGCATAAAAAATAATGGATTCTAATTATACAAGGCTAAACTACGTTTAAAAACGGTTCCAACAATATACGAAAAAAAATAATTTTCAAAATATATCCGAAGAAATTATGAAATTCAGAAAAACCTAGGCGGAAATACATTACAAAACCATGATGGGTTTTTCTTCGTTTTAGTATCTTTCTATAATATTTTCACGTTAAAAAGGACAGCAACATATAGAATATCCTAATTTTCGCCATTTAGAGTACTTCTGGTGTACTTCTGGTGTAGTTCAGTGTCCTCATTTATATTTTTTCGAAGTAAAAAAAGATGCCAAAAGGGACAAAACTCGAAGAGGCCGAGAAGGCGCAAATTTTGGCCTTTGCGAAATGCGGTAGAAGCCAACGGGACATCGCCAACGGCAGAAGCCAACGGGAAATAAAACGCTCAATAACCGTTCTGCTATCATTTTTTGCTAATTCGGACGGCTACATATCAAAAATTGCACCCTGGACCAACTCCAAAATTAACCGACTGGGATCTTCGGCTACTGTTTTCAGAGGCTTCTAAAGCTGGCGCTATACCTCTACCTCTATAAAATTGGTCTCTGGAGCTGATGTGACAGCTCGACGCATCCGTCAGATCCAGTATTGCATGACTCGAAGAAATTCAAGTACATGAAACGGAAATATGCTCCTATGCTTAAACAAAAGCATATTATCAACCGACTAAAATTTGAAAAAATGTGCTTGTCGGTGAGGGATTATCTTCAGTAATTAAAAAAAGTTCAATCTTGATGCTCCGGATGGATATCAATGCTATTGGTACCACCTGGACCGTTAGCCTGAATTATTTTCCAAGCGGCAATCTGGTGTTAGTTCGATCTTGGCTTGGGGGGCGTTCAGCCGAAAGGGATTTTCAATTTCACAAGGGAGATAAGATTCCGAGGCATACAAGCACACGCTATTTCACCATCTTCTCCCTTTTGCCGATGAGAAACATGAGGGATCACATGTTTTCCAGCAAGACAATGCTTCGATTCACACTTCAAGGTCATCAAATAAGTGCTTCCATGAGCAGAATATTATTCTGTTGCCGTGGCCAGCGCTTAGTCCTTACCTCAACCCCATTGAAAACCTATATGGCATCATGGCGAGGGATGTTTACCAAAATGAGCGCCAGTTCCAATCTGTGAGTGGCCTGAGCACGGCTATCCTTCGTTACTGGGATAAATTCCTCGAAAGACTGGATTATTTGGTAAATCGCATGGGGAGAAGATGCATTGAGGTAATTAAGGCGAAAGAATGTAAGATTGCCAATTAAAACGAGTGTATGGGATCCAAAAACGGAAAAACCTTTCATGGTCTTATTACCATTTTCACCTAGGTTTTTCTAATCTTCATTTCTTCTCATATATTTTGAAAAAATTGTCCATTTCGTATAGCTTTGGAACTGTTTTTAAACGTAGTTTAACTCAGTATAATTAGAATCCAGTATTTTTTATGCAGGAAAAAACATTTAGAAAAAACTGGGTGGTCCTATAGCCATTTCCGCCACTGTATGAGGGAATAGCTCTGCAGTTTATGCATAGGTAGAATAACACTGCAGTCGTGCGTCTGAAGGAATGACACTGGAGTCAGTGTGTCAGGAAGAATGATGCGGCAGCTGGTGCGCATGGGGAAATGCAATTGCATTTTATGCGCTTGATGGGATGACACTGCAGGTTTTGCGTCTAGCGGAACGACACTGTAGTCTTTTCCATCTGGCGGAATGACACAAGCTTGTGTGCCCAGATTCGGGAGGCTGAGGCTGCTGGACTGCAAGTTGCGTGCGGAAGAGCTGCCGCTACTGCTGCAAGAGGTGCAGGGATGCGGTGTCAGGACAGCTGGCGGGGCCGTCGGAACGGGCGGTGGAAACGACACGCGCGCCGTGGCTGTCGGGTGAGTTGGCGGTGACCACTGAACTGTGGGTCAATATTCAGATAGTAGTGAATAAGTCTGGGGTCTTATTGATAGAAGTAGTTACTGAACCGAGCTTATGATCACAATCTGCATAAACAGCTTAACAGGTTACCGATCACTTACCCACAATCTTATTTCGAATCTCGACCATAAAAATTGATCAATTACCACAGAATAAAACCTGGTCATTTACCCAAAATCTCACCCCGAATCTTGACCATAAAACTGGATTAATTACTCCCGAATAAAACCTGGTCATTTAACCGCAATTTTATTTAGAATCTTGGCCATCAAAAATTTGAGCACTGTCTTCAGATCAAAAACCTGACCATTTACAACAATCTTACCCCGAATCTTACACTAAAATCATGAGTTAACGACCATTTACCCCGATTGACCGAGCACTCACAATATTTTTGGATCACCGTTGTTAGTAAATTTTATGAACTTTTCGTTATTAAAAACCCGGTATCTTAACCTGGGTAAGCAGAACTACTGCCCATAACCTAGCTTACTCAACTATGATTGAACAGCGCCTCAGTTTAGCATAGTTACCTACCCTACTTAATTCAGAACTGCACTTCATTTTCTTTTGATACTGCTCATAAATGTACTGTATTTTCAGCTGTGACTCATTCATTTATCGCAGTATTACCACCGCTCTCTCTCCTACAACGACAGTTTTACACCCATTAAAGCCTTTTTATGGGCTATCGAACTCATTTAGTTTGCTTGTAATATCTGAAAATTCTGTATTAACAAACAGTAGGTAATAGAAAAGCCAGATTTTACTTTAACTCGACATCGCCTCGATAGTCGAGTGGCTGGCTATGCGTCTTCGTAGTCGCTACCCCAGGGTTCGATCCCAAACATCTCCTGAGGGTTTTCCAGGTCTTACGTCAGTGGGATGAGACATGGGAGGATCTACGGGGCGTAGATGTGGAAGGAGCTGTGGGGTGGTGATTAACGATGCACACAGTGCCGCTCACCGCGCACAACTGATGGAAGTAGAGGGTGAAGCGTGCGCCAGTGGCGACAACGCTGTCGGTGATTGACTATGCGCACACCGCACGCCTAGCATGAAAGCTCCTTTCCATAGAAATTTGAATGCATAATTGTTTGGAAGCGACGTACCCCCACGAGTATCTCATTCGTTAATCATTTGTTATGCCTGGGTAAATTAACTCATAAATATCAAAAATATATGAACTTATAAATATCTCTATATCAACTATTCCATAATAACTGATTTCTAATTTATTATAAAATCAGGATGATTTCAGGATGAATCAGTGGATGTGATGTAATGCAATCACTGACTTGGAAGTAGAGCTTTCTAAGTCATCATCCACTTAGTTTTTCCCACTGCAAGCACCGCTAACTTCCTCATAGTCGGAGCATGCATTACTTCATCCAATCAGTAAAATGATCTTATCAATTCAATGTTTTATTCGCAATTATTGTGGACAAATAAATGTATTAGATTAACAGAATTTCTTCCATGTGTTAATTTTCTATATAAAATGAGAGCTGATAATCATGCAATGTAAATCATGTCAAAAAACACATGAGTACAAAAATCCTTTGGATCATGTGTTAATTTTCTATATAAAATGAGAGCTGATGAATCATGCAATGTAAATCATGTCAAAAAACACATGAGTACAAAAATCCTTTGGATAAATTTATTAAGGAAAATAAGAGTCGAGCAATCTACTAGTGTAAGTCTTGCTGAAAAATTATACATTTAATGTGAAAAGTCTTTGGATTAACATTTTAATAAATCCAAAGCAAATATTGTTGGCATGAATCATTGCAAAGTTTGTAACACAGTATTTAAAACCTGAACAAACATATATAAGAACTCAAAAGCATCGTAAAGCAATTAACAGTTCGATCATATCAAATGAATACTTTAATTCAAAGATAGGATGTATAATTTGCAATCGTAAAGTTCAAAACTTAAAATAAAATGTCTAAATGATTGCATATTAGCCAGCTCTTTCTTTTATCGTAATCTCTATAATTTAGAAGCGCACGATATTGGAGTGCATGAAAACTCAGATGTACATTTTAAAAATAAATTTGAATGCATACGAGGTGAAATTAAGACGGCTGTTAATGATGATTGCTCGAAACATATTTATCATGAAATGAGAACGATCGATCCGAAGTTATTTCTCAACAATATAACATCTGAAATTATTGAAGTAAATAAAAAGTCAAAATTTGATAATATTAAATTACAGATGAATTTGCAAGTCGAGTTTCATAAATTCAAATTAGGAAGAGAGAAAATCCATAATACCGCTTGATTCAATTCAAACAGGTTTATAGAACTTTCAAGGATTCACATAAATTTAAATACAAATAAAGGGCTACCTATATTACAATCTGATACATAGAATCGAAGTATTTACGAACAACTCTTCTGCATGGATATTAAACAAGTTACTAAACTTCACAATAAAAATTGTTGCATACTGAATACAAAAACCTTTACGAGGTTCTAGCTATATTGAATTACCAAAAAATTGAGACATCCTAAATATAACTTAAATAACATTAAAAACCAAGATAACATGTGCTTAATGTGGACGGTTGCGCGTCACTTATGCAGAGATGCAAAAATATAACTCATTACTCACTGCATTAATTGAGTGACGGAAAGCGCATTTTCTCGTCGACGAAAACATGAAGTCACGGACAAACAGACAGACAGACGGACATAACGAGCACAATAGCGCTTTTTTCCATAGATGAGAAAATGCGTTAAAAATGTTAACAGAATTACGAAAATATTAAAGATGAAAGCTGAAGAGTTGAATTCCGCAGATACCAAATTCCCTATGAGAATTAGAGACATCGATAAATTCTAAAAAATGAACAATATTCCTATAAATGTATATAGCTTGAGTTATTGTTTGGAGCTATGTCCACTCCGAAAAATTAAAACTAAAAATAAAGATGTGGTTTCATTATTGTTAACAAATGAGAATGGAAATAGTTACGTTTTGATGACGTCTTAAGTCCATTTATTCATAAGGCGAGTCATAGAACTATATATGTATGTCCATACTGCCAACATGCATTTATACGCGAAGACCTACTTGAAAAGACATAAAATAATTGCTCTGTTCACACACGCGTCATATATGTTTTTAGTGATGAGAAACTGAAATTCATGGCCTTTCAAAAGACTATCAAGCATCCCTTTGTAATTTACGCTTATTTGAATCGACTTTGGTATGTTGATGCAAGTCAACCAAACCTAAAGTCGAATTATACGCGGAATATTCAAAATCAGAGCATAAAAGTTTCTGTTGATATAATAAATGCGAAGAAGATAGGCATTCCAAGTTGGAGTTGTATAATGGTGAAGATGCCTCGGAAATATTTGTAAAATATCTAGAAGCAGAAACCAAACGTGTGTATGAATTATCAAATCAATTTACGAAAAAGATGATCTTACCAACCGAAAAATATCACGATCACAGAAATGCTACAGTTTTCTATGTCTGCCATGAAGTGTTTACTAAAGAAATCCAAAGGTTTGAGATCACAACCACCTAACGGGAAACCCATATAGAGGTCCAGCACATCTCAGGTGCAATTTTAAAATTAGAAATCCTAATATTATTCCAGTGATTATGCTTAACTGCTTCAATAATGATTAAAATCTGTTAATTAAAGATCTAGGTAAAGTGTGTGGTAAAATAAATGATCAGAAATACATAAGTTTCACACAGACCATCAAAGTCGGGACCTATATAGATAAAAAAAAACTGGGAGGGAGCGAGATATAACAAGAGACTTAAGATTCTTAGTCACTCTCAGATACATGTCTTCATCGTTGGATGCATTATCAAAAAATTTAATGGAGCATGTGGAATTGAAAAGACATTTCCCTAATAATGAAAAGTTAAATTGATACAAAACAACGGTATATATCTATACGATTACAAAGATACCTATGATACAATGTATTCAATTATTTCAGAATTGAAGGATGAAATCCATAAGAAATTAAATGATAAGAATATATCAGAGAAAGAATATGAACATACTAAAGAGGTTTGGAATGTATTCAAATGCAAAACATTCAAAGATTATCATAATCTCGATCTCAAAGTCGACACCTTGTTATTAGGTGAAGTGTTTGAGAACTTTAGAAATAACTGTTTGAAAACACACAAATTAGATTTAGCATATTATTTTACAGCTCCGGATTACTTAGTAAAACGCTCTTGCTAAACGATCCTGATATGATACTATTCTTTGAGAAAGCTGTTCGAGGTGGTGTTCCAATGATTTCTACAAGATATGCTAAAGCAAATAACAGTTATATTCCTGAGAGGTCTGATCCTCAAAAACCGATTAATTATATATCATGCAAGGACGCAAATAATTTACATGGTTGGGCAATGTCATAGAGCCTGCAACAGGAAACCTTAGATGGTTGAAAGAAAATGAACCATTCAAATATAATAAAGGCTACGTTCTCGAAGTTGACTCTAGCTATCAAAAAGAACTGCATAACAATCAATGATTTACCAATAGCTCTTGAAAATATTTAAAAAGGGGATGTTCATAAGTTAGTACCTAATCTTCCTAAGCGTGAAAAATATGCAATCCATTGCAGTAATTTAAAACCATAAGAAACTTGTATTGAAACTAGAGAAGATTCATAGAGTATTAGAATTCGATGAAAGTCAATGGATGAAGTCATATATAGATCTGAATACTGAAATGCGTCAACACGTAAAATCGGATTTTGATAGAGATTTCTTCAAGCTAATGAATAATTCTGTATCCGGAAATACAGTGGAGAACATTAGAAACCGAGTCGAAGTTTATTTGGTTAAGACTAAAAACGAATTGAGAAAATTAGTTAATAAACCCAATTTCAAAGGATTCAAAATATTCTCGGAAAACTTGATAGCATGTCACACTCAGAGAACATAAGCTAAAGTTCGATTAAACCTATCAATGTATAGGGATGAGCATACTGGATATAAGCGGGACTTTGATGGAGACTTTCATTAAAATTGTAAAAATATATGGTAGCGGAACAAAGCTATTGCTCACAGTTACCAACTCACTCTTATAAAATCCAAACCGATGACTTCTATGAAGATTTGACTTTGAGGGATTATTAAGACTTATATATATTGGCAGACGGTATTAATACGCTAGCATTATATCTATTCTATTAATTTGAATCGTTCATCAACTTGCAAAGATGGTGAGGAAGATTCAATTGAAGTATTTCCCTTCGAGTCTCTGAAAACTTTAATCGAAACTCTTCGAACTGAACATCCCACATTTCAATTTAATTATTACAACCCTGGGAGAAGACTTACGAGTTGAGTTTTCTAATACTTATCTAGGTTAGAAATTTTTAGAGTCATCACTTGAAGCTATATATAAATATATATATATATGAAATAAGTCGATTCTTCTAAAAAAAAACTATTTAAACAGTTCGATGAGAAAATTTCAGTTTGCAGTCAGCTTTCGACGGCAAAGTCAAGAATTTGGAATTGCATGTTGAAGAAAAACTAATTAAGCAAATTGATGAGAAAATCATCAGTTTGCAGGTAGCACTCGATGACAAAGTACAAAATATATAAATGGGTATTGAGGATAAACTAGTGAGACAATTATAGGTGAGAAAATAGTTTGCGGGTAGAACGAATTAGAACGAATTCAAATTTATTAATTCTATCCGAGTTACCTTTCATCGATATGAAGAATATTCACAGTGTTTACATTGCTTGTGATATGCCCTTTGCCGGGTTCGAAGAATTTTTGTAATGAAACGTATAAAGTACCTTATCGCTTTGTGTTGATTGATAAAGATGAGCACCCAGGTTCTGGAAAGAATTTTAGAAATTTAAATCAATTATATATTCCACAGAAGTATTTTCGACAGCCGCCCCAGGTTTTCTCGGTTAAAAAGTGCTCGATCAATCGGAGTAAATGGTCGTTAACTCATGATTTTAGTGGTCAAGATTCGGGGTAAGATTGTGGGTTAATGTACAGGTTTTCAATCGGAAGACAGAGCTCAAATTTTTGATGGCCAAGTTTCTAAATAAAAATTAAAATTATGTGTAAATGACCAGGTTTTATTTGGGTGTAATTGATCAATTTTGATGGTCAAGATTCGGGGTAAGATTTTAAGTAAATGATCAGGTTTCATTCGGGGGTAATTGGTCAATTTGACGGTCGAGATTCGAAATAAGATCGGTGGGTAAATGATCGGTAATCCATTAAGCTATTTAGGCAGATTGTGATCATAAGCTCGGTTATAACTACTTATAGACTATATATATTGTACCGATGTTGAAAGTGCGATTATAAAGTCCATCGCAAAATGAAGCGAAATAGCGGCCGATCCTGATGGATTTTCCACGTAGATGGCTGCGATTTATATGACAAAAAGCCACTCAAATGTGGGAGAGTACTGATGGACAACTTACTCAGATGGCGGCCTATCATATTAAGGAGGTCCACTTAAAATGGCGATCAATCATGGCGGACAGTCCCCGGTCAGAGGGCAGCGAATCAAATGAAGGAGGGCCACTCATAATGGCGGCTGATCCTGATGGATCACCCATTCAGATATGGTGAATCATATGTCAAAGGGCCACTTGAAATTGCTGTCCATCCTGACGGCCCGTACATTCAAATGGCGGCCAATCTTATGGCTCAGGCCTACGTAAGATGTCGGCTGCTGTAATAATATGTCATTTGTCACTCAGGATATTCATTGCCTAGTGGGTAGTAACGCTGCTGCATTCCCACAGAAAGGAAGGGGTGGTTTGGCTCCACATCACGGACAAGCTGCCCTCTGGGGGGACCAGCGGTGCCCAATGAGGTTCAATTGCAGAAGGCCTAACTGTAGGAGAGCACGCTGTATGAGCCCTATTCGCAAGAGATCCAATCACAGAACTGTACATGCGCCGCCAATTAAATGATGTATTTTCAATATGATCAATTTGACTATGTCCATGTGTTCTAGTATATAGTATATTTGTGGCGGCGTTGAATAATTAGGCCAAGTTTGACATGTCACCGATTTTTGTAATGTTCTTGACTTGTCTCCTGAAAATTGCCCTCTTGGCCAGATTTCTCCATGACTAACGTGGAAGCTAACCCAGCAGGCATTTCTTGAATGAATCAACGTTGAAACAACCACCATTCGCGACGTTAGAATTAAGTTGAATACTAGTCCAGAACGAAATTTGAAGCAAAATCATTCATGCAAAGTTGTGTTGACTTTAGATTTCAAGATTGAAATTATGTCACTAGTATTATTAGTAGTATGCAAACGTTATTTCAACGTTGGAATGATCGAGTTGAAAACGCTTGATAAAAGGTTGGTTTTGAAAATTAGACAAAAATGTTGATATCATATTCGTTTATGACCAGATATAATTATACAAGACAGTCACATTATTTGGGCATTGTATTACAGTGAGTTACATTTGATGAATATACGTATATACTATACTCTTTAAAACCAATATTTTCCCTCACATTTAATTCTCCGTTAAAAGCGCCCTCAACCTTAATCGGGATCGAACCCGGAACCTCCAGCTCGTGCGCGAAGCCTAAACCCTCTAAGACACGGTGAAGTCGATAGTATAACGAATTAAAAATTATTGAACCTAACTTTTTACATCATAATTTTATGAAAAGACACTTTTGTGGCTAAGTTTTATAAATATCATTTATTTCATATCATCTTCACAAATATAACAAATAAATATGTAGTATGTTTAAAATCACCATATAATACCACTGCAGGCGAGTACAGTCCCTGGAAATAACCAGGTCTCTGCTGCATTCTGCCAACATGCAATTAAAATTAGTATTAGCCGTTAATAAGTATTATTAGGTAATTATTTTTATCATTCAAGATCAGCTAGAAATTAGTACAATAAGTTAATGTATTTTTTATTTAATATTTTTTCTGTACAACGCAGGTTGGTGGCCTCTGACAGCTGTTGCAAATCGTTTCTAACTAACGCCTGATTAGTTAACATATCATGCCTTTCTTAGTTCATCCAGTTAGATATAAAATTATAATGAAAGATCCGAATAATCGTAATGACAGATCATTTATATTAGCAAATAATTATTCAACAGTTGTTTAGGGTCCAGGTGAAGCCAATATATCTGTGTACGTAGTTTTTGCAGCTAAAATTAAATTTCAATTAAACGCTCTTGAAACCACATTGAAATGTCAAAATTCAAATTGCCCTACCAAATAGCTAATTGCATGAAGAACTGATTGTTTCACGAGGGGATGGGGGGGGGGCGCAGCCGTAGGCCACAAATTTTACTCTTAAATAAGACCCTGAGCCTTCTGTTGCTTTTCACCTGTCCCTCCTTGTCACTTCGTCTCTTTGAGACGCTAACGCTGCTTCTTTCGAGCCAGCTTCAGCGGGCTGGACATCTGAGACCTTCCGCCCCTTGTGTGTGATGAACAATTTTTGATTTGAGAAACTTTCGATAACTGAGACCTTCCACCTCTTTGGTGATGCCCATCTTGACTGTCTGTGCGAGGTGGCTAAATAGCTGAAGTGCTAGTAAACATGTGGCCACTAAACTAACTAACTGTAGTGGTGGTCGTTGCACTTATCAATATCTACAGTTACGGTCATTACCATATGGGTACAAATTTGTTGCAAGATACTTCATCCTGTCAATGCCACGAGGAGCGGATGATCTGGTAAAGAGAGTTAATTGTCACTTGTCCAAGATTCGAGCCTTTTTCTGAGGATGCATTAAACTTCGTTAATCTTATTTGTGTCGAAAAACATGGTTATGATCAAATGGCAGCTATAACTGTTCTTTGAACCAGAAAATCGGCAGGAAACATCAGTTCTGATGTAAATGTCTCCAAATACCGCTGTTTTCACTAAATTGCACTTAAAATAAAAGCGTTTTTATCGATATATGATTCAGCATCATAACTCAACTGTCTTGGGTATAGTGAATTGGGAAATTTATCGAGAGTTGCCTGTAACAATTTGTGGCTGAGTGATATTAGTGAAAGTGGTGTCAATGTCGATCAGGCCAAATCGGACTTGTAGTTATAGATTCATCGTTCGAAACATCGCAATATTTCCGTATAGCTGGCTTGGACTTCGAACCCGCAACTTGCTGCTCCTATCTGTCTGCTCTTAACCACCTGGCTTATATTGACCGAAAGTTTACAGCTAGCTGGGATAGAACCTATAACTCCCAGATCCGATTTTGTTGCTCTTAATATTAACCACCCGATCATTTCGCCGACTTTAATGTTATTGTACGAGAATAGTATTCAATCCACCGAACGATGTTTAACTCACTTTACTAATGACATACTACTTGCTGAAGACTATAAATGATTTCGCTAATAGGGATTAAAATATTCTTCGTGTGGGAAATTCTGGGAAAATTGTGGCATCGATACATTTTTTGTCGTAGTTGTAAATAATAAATCGTAGAATAATTGGTTCGTGAATAATTTGATCAGCCATTTGACAATCAATATCCAGCAAACTTTATATCTAGCCAGCACTGTTGTCTCATTGTCATAGAGTGCGTGAGTACCTGTATCTATGGAGGCAAGGAGATATTTGTTGTTGCATTCACGTGCATCACAATTAATTGATTTAAAGTAATAATTCAGTCTGCATTTCAGTTCCTTTTCCCGAAAATTTGATTTAAAAGCATTTCCATTAATATAAATCGAAAGTTTATCTGGCAATTAATTAGAAAACGTATTATGTTATTCTACTAATAATTTAACGCTTCTGTATTTGTAGGCTGTATACTTTTTAGTAGTGAAGAAATTAGAGGCTGTTTAATCTTATCTCATGATTATATAAACTCAAGTGGTCTCATGATAATTGCGATTGCTCAACAAACCGAACACAAATTTCGTGCCTTGACAGAAAGTTCAAGTAATATTAAGATATTAATGCATTAATTCAACTATAATTCCATTAAATTCTCAATCACTCAAATTGCACAGCCAAACGTATTTGCATTAACGTTAAATCGAGTAAGCTTGCTTAAGTTAACTTTTGGATACAAATTCATCGAATCAAAAAGTAGATTTTTTTTAGAAATGAAAATTTCTGGGTAATAAAGTATATGGCTATTCAATCATGCCAAACTACATGAATACGAACATATATAGGTGGAACCTTCTGGTCATTGCTGCTCTAATGTAGGGCTATTGGTCAAGCGTTGCACTTTATCATGCCTTCATTTCTTCTATTAAGTTTGTTGATGTTTATTCAGAATGTTTTGGCAAAAGTGACGTTTAATAAAAATGTATTTTTCTTTTCGGAAACCCTAAATAAATACGGTTCATTCAACTATGTAAACCCGCCCTGGGCACCAACCGTTGCCGCTAATAGTGTTATTTGAACTGAAAAGTCAAGTGCGCAAAACCTGACCAGTATAAAAAGGTACGATTGTGTCTTTCGTAAACTCCTTTAAATTGTAGGTGAACATTCTATCGAATATTATAACATCACCGTTGAGAGGTTAGGTATTTATATACAAAGTTTCGTTGAAATCTGTTCTGTAGTTTAGAAGAAATTTCTTGATCGCCGCGAATTTAAGTGACAAATTACCCGGCTATACGGGCCGAATAGGCTATAAGGAAGTGTGAAATCAAGAATGACGGCGAAATGAAAAAAAAAAACTCGCAAACGAAGGTAAAACCGAAAAATTTTTTATAAGCTTAAAAATCACCGTTTGGTAGTTAGGAATGCATGTATATTCAAAATTTCGTTCAAATCTGTTCAATAGTTTGGGAGAAATTCTTTGATCACTGCGAATTTTGCCCTGTTTCGCAATATACGCGTAACTCACGAAAGAAGGTAAAATTAAAAAAAATTACGAGCTAAACATCACCGTTAGATTCTGATGAATACGTGTTCCAAGTTTCATAGATTTGCGTTTATTAGTTTGGGAGATATTGTTTGATAATTTAATTTGGAGATTGGTCGTGAGACCGGCCACGAGTCCAGCCGTAAATTCGCACGCGACGTCTTAGGTTTCCAGTGCTGAAACAGTTATAAGAGCTGAAGAACATATTGGTTCACTAAATGGGGTTCTATTTGTGAAATATACATTTGTGTTTAACCTTTATCTTTTAAAATTGCAGTGTACTAAATTTCAAGAAAGAGGCGCATGTCTGTGGGGGGGCGCTAAAAATTCACTAGGGAGCCAAAGGGGGCGCTTGCCTGAAAAAGTTTGGGAACCACTGATGTAGGGCTATTGGTCAAGCGTTGCACTTTATAATGCCTTCATTTCTTCTATTAAGTTTGTTGATGTTTATTCAGAATATTTTAGCAAAGTGACGTTTAATAAAAATGTATTTTTCTTTTCGGAAACCCTAAATAAATACGGTTCATTCAACTATGTAAACCCGCCCTGGGCACCAAACGTTGCCGCTAATAGTGTTATTTGAACTGAAAAGTCAAGTGCGCAAAACCTGACCAGTATAAAAAGGTACGAATATATTGAATATAAATAAAAAACAGGTTATTCAAACCCGGATTTGACTGCTCTTGGTTAAAAGAGAGTTAAATGTTTGATTACCTTTTGTTGTGGGACGCATTTTCTGATTTGATCATTTACCTTTGTTATCGTCTTCTTAGCTTGCAGTTCGCTGGTGGAGAAGCATTCAAACGCACTGAAATGATTCAACATCATTGGTATTCATCATATATGTGAAAATCCTTGAATAGAAAATAAATGTAAACAAACTTTGCAATTTGAAGATTTTACAATCCAAAAGCGATTCATTCGAAGCAATCGTTTCGTATGCTGGAATTCCATCTTAACTCTTTGACTTGGATAAAACGCCAGCAATTTGCACTCTGTCCTTAATTCTAGCGTCATTTACAAATACTTTAATTTCACTGAGTGATTTATAGACTCCTGCGTCTCGAAATAATTTTCTCGAAATGAACCGGGACAGACGAAACGAGACGAGAAAATTCCGGGAAAAAAATAACGGGACAGA